GTTGCAGTAATAATTAACGATAAATTTACATCGAATAATAGATTCCTTTTTAAATTAAAGTAATCATTACTAAGACAGGAAGAACATAATTCATAAAATTCTGACTCTTTACATTATGGGCGCCAATTTATTACTGAGATTTTTTTTTAAATTCCCCATCTCCCCTCAACTCACTTAATCACGCCGTTTCTGGCGAGGTTAGTGTGTTTTTTTTTTTTATTTCTCTTTGGCGAAAATAATTCTTTTCGTCGCGGTTATTATGCTGGTTAAAAAAGAGGAGAAAAAAACATTAAACCATAAAAAAGCTAATTAATTTTTAATTTTTTTTTTTTAGAATATAATAAAGATTTTCAATAATTTTCAATCAACGGGAACGATGTATTTTATTTCCATATCTTTCTCTTTCAAAGACGCAGATTGCAATGATGAGATCATCGATATTTTTTTCTTGAGGAACTTTCTCATCGAAATCGATATTTCTACTTCAGCTATTTACTTATAAATTTCATAGGTACTTAAAATAGCTATAAACATACATCTTACTTGAAAATGCTTTTTTATTCTGGATTACACGACTCATAAACATAAGTTTTAAAATTTAAACATAGCTATGGGCTATAAAGAATTTTATTAATATAGCTTTCACTATTTTTTTTTTTTTCATATTCAAATAAGTTCGAATCAAAATTCAATAAGTAAAAAAAAAAATTCAAAAAAGTTAATATATAAAGATTAATTTTTCGTGCGAATGTGTCTAGTAATAAAAATAACTCCGATCGTTTTGAGAAAAGTTTATGGTACATTAGATGTGCAAAGGCGTTTAAAGGTTACCTATAAGTCCTGAAAAAGTTATAAGAATATAAATTCAGTTTTCATTTCTTTTATATCTGAACATGTTATCACGGAAGAAAGTTAACGTAACGTTAACATAAAAATAACCGGATAGTAGCCAACATAACAATTAGCCTATTTCATTAACTAAGTTCGAAGTCAACTATTGATATTTATTTCGGACTTGAAAGGGAAGGAACCTGTTATTTTATAACTGTTATTTTCCGACGCAAATTACATTTAACAACTGCTATATTTTAGTGTTAAAAACATAAAAAATATTGCTAAGAATATTATAGTCGTTTCAAATTTCTTAATTTTTGGTAAAGGACCATTTCCATTTTTTAACCAAATAATTTAGTAACTAAGGAACTAATTTTAATAGCCTCCTTTACCTCCGCAGTATAGATTTAGTAACTAAAAAAGAAATTTTGATAGCTCAAAGTTACAGAACATTGGCTCCCCTGAACAAATAAAAAAATGGACATATTGTTCTTTATCTCCAGGCTACAGAATTATAAAGTGTATCTGAGATTTTCACTAGTACGTTCTGTTTAATGAGAGGTACATTGACTGATTTATAATACCTACACTTTATAAATTTGGAAAAAAAAATAAATACGTTTCTTATAATCTCTGATAAATAAATCCATAAAAAATTTAAGGTATTTCTGAAATGCTTGTAGTAAACTTTCGACATTGATTTCCATTTTCTAAACTTTATCAGACATCCATCCAACATCATTTAAATACTCCACGGAACGAAAACGTACTAAAATCTGTTTGTTTAATTCAAATAGAATCGCGGATAGGTTCATAAAGGTAGGGGGATTAGAGCTGTCACACTTTGCTTTCCGACCATCGTGCTAGATACCACGAACGAACTAACAATAACCAACGGGACAATTTTTGCCGTACGAGTTGGCACAGGAGTTTATGAAAAGCCCCTCTGTTTATGATAGAGGATGTTTGTTAATTATCATCAGGTCCACCAGTGCCTGTTTGATTGCAATTATAATAACCGCGCCGAGGTGAGGGGAAATAATTTGTTATTCGCCGTGTTTGGGCACTGTTTGCTCTATGATGTCCTGTCCCCCGAATGTCCAATTGTATTTGTGGGATTCGGATGTTTCCAGGATAGTCCTACTATATTCGCCTCCAGTACAAACAACCAGCGTGAGAACTGAATATATTAACAAATATTAACCCTCGTGTTTTCCCTGAATGCGCCCAACAATAAATATCAGACGCGAGCTATCTTATACCTGACCATTGTTATTACAAGCTGAATTATGAAACGGAGATATAATGTACATAAAGCCGTTAATTGTAGTAATTTGTTCGTTGCGAAATGCAGCAGCTACATATACGAGAATTCTTGTGCCTTATACGAAAAAAATTAATAAATAAAACAACCTTCTCAACTCAAAATGTATTCCAAAGAAATAGACCAATCTTAAAATAATACAAAGTAAATACCATTGAAGATGATAATAGTTATGGATTTTTAAAGCATTGGTTAAAGTGTTTACTTTTTTTAATGTAACAGTGGCGGAAACATCGGACAAAATACAAATTTTAAAAGACGAAGACTTGCATTTTAACATATCCCAACAAATCAGTAGATCATTTAATTTTCTGTTAGTTATTTTTTTTTTAGGGTATTCAAAAACCGATAAATAAAATGAGATTTCGATTTGATTTTTTTTTAAATAATGCTCTTAATATTTTAATTCTTATTTAAAAGAGTAATTTTTCTGTATTTTAATATTAATATGAATCTACAAGAATTGAATATACGATGACTAAGAATTCTCCTTCCTGATTCTCGATCATCTTTAAAAAAAAAAGTGTTGGTTGCTGATATAAGAAAAGTTTAAACTTGGATTTACTAACCTATCCAGGAACACAACTATTCCGATACTAAAAACTCAAAATATTTAATAAGTTAAATTCAAAATATAGTAGTTCTGTTTTAATTTTAATCCTGATCTTTTTCTTTTTTTTTCATTAAAATGCCAGTTAATTTTAAAACTGACGCAGTTTTTGGCTTAATCTAGAACTAACATTACGCAGAAATCATCAGCATATCTAGAATTCTACACTAGTCAAAGCGTTTAATGTTATTAATTAATAAAACATATCTGGCATTAATACCATTAGGAACTAATGTGTCGATATAATTTCCTGCGTCTTGCACCAGTATCGATGAGTTACTACCTGATTCCCAAAGTACCACTTCGGTTTCCCTCCATAAACTTTTTAGCAGAACGTAGGCAGGATCATTGTGGCCTATTAAAGACAAATGTTTATCTTAGGCAGTACTAACAGTTCACTATAGGCGGTACTATATTATTGAAAGAGCTGGCATCAAAGAGCGGTTACAGTACTGTTTTTGGCTGGGTTGGGTACACACCGGGCACAGTATAAACAGAAACCACTCCGGGGCGGACCTATTTGCACTCCTGTGCAACTCCTCCATCGTGTTTACCGGACTAATTATATGTAACACAGGCTGTACGCTGTAAAATCAATAACTTTTTGATTATTTATTATTTATTATCGGTGACAACATGAATATCCATTGGTCCGGCGGTGCGTTACGTCACAGCCTCGATCAATATGTGCATAACGCCATTGAAGTGAACAGTGAATATTATCGCATATGTGATCAAAATATATTTTATTAAAAAATTATCCTGTATTCATTGATTTTGGAAAGGGATTTTAAGTTTTTTTTTTCATTTTTAATGCAATCAAGTATTATAAAAAAAATAAAATAATTCATTTATTCTAGCTGTCCAATTATCCTAAATATATAAAAATCAGAGACAGATTTATTATTAAAAATATGTCATTTTAATCCAGTTTTTCAGATATTAAATGCTATATTTGATTTTTAAATTATTAATAAATATGTCACTTTTAAGAACATTAATTGAAGTTGATCAAATCATGAAAATAAATAAGTTACGATTAAAAAATATATATAAATTAAATTTTAAAAAAGACTGATAAAACCAAATATTTGTTCAATTTTTACAGTCATCCTGGGGAATCCTGAACCAAACATGTCCCTTCTTTGAGGAGAGCAAAACAGAGCTATTCGGTATCCCAGTTTTTCTTAACAGCATCATAGATCTGTGATGATTTTTTTTTACTTCAGAGTATTCCAATCATTATTAGAATTTATCTAAATATATTTAAATATTATAAGTTAGTTACCCGACAGTTCAATGAGTATAAGATATTTTTTAATAGTTTATTATAGGAGATTAAGATTAGGCTGAAGGCTGGAAATGCTTGTCTGGGAATTTATTTCTCGACAAAACTACTTAGTTCGCGCCTCCTGTCCCGGAACTTGAAAACTAGAATCTATAAAACCATTATCCTACCTACGGTTCTTTATGGACGCAAAACCTGGCCGCTTACACTAAGGGGTGAGATCTTAAGGTTTTTGAATGAAAATGAAGTATTGCGTAGAATATTCGGGCTGAAGAAGGATTAGTTAACCGGAGAGTTCAGACGGTTACACCACGCCGAATTGTGTAAACTGTGGCCCATTAATACAATTGAGGTGATTACATCGTGGCGAATTAAATGGGCTTGTAAAATAACGAAAGAATTCCTATAAGGTCAATATTTGCTGTGCCGAATGGTAAGCGTCCGAGGGGTACCCCGAAGCGAAGGTGTGAAGATTGTGTAAAGGCTGATCTCAAAGGACTGGGTTTTGACGGCGTCCGATGGAGGGAGGGATATAATAAGGGATTGGTAGTGTCGGCAACGAACCTTCGGTTTCTTTAAACCTTTTATCATTATATTGTTATTATAGTATAATAGTTCATTATGAATTCACTGAGTTTTTTCATTTTTTTTTATATTGAATGGACTTATTCTATTGCTCTTATTACTAAATTACTTTCCCATGAGAAATGCACTTTTATGTTTAGTTAGTTACATATATTTAATGCAATTAATTATCTAGACTATTTTTTTAAACACACATGTATTGTTACTGTTGCTCACGATTTACCAATACCGAAGCCTCCCCGCTTAACATACACCATAGCTTTGAACCCTCCCACATCCCTCCTCCCGTATTCCTATCTGTCCCGTAGATGTTTGTTCGGTTGCCGGAAACGCTAACGCGTTCCCTGTGTTGTGTACAGGAGGCTGAGCTCCGTGTGGATGTGTTGCAGCAGCATGCCGCTCTCATCGGAGGACCAAACACCACTTCCTGCCCGGTCTGCCACAAGATCTTCCTTGGAACGGAGGCGCTCATGGACCACATGAAGCACGCTCACAAGGATCCAAACACGACTACCATGCCAAGTAAGTGGATCTCCTTCTCATTATTTAATAAATTAAGGTAGCTTTAAGTATAAGTGTAACATACCTTTAATATTTATTAACAGTGTCATTAACGTTTATCGAGAAAAATTACACTGGATGCTCTTAAATATAACATTTTCAACAAGTGCCGACCTCACCCTCTGGATGGTTTGCTTAGACACTCCTCTAAATCTATTCGAACGTCCGTCAAAAAGAAACACTTTTATGAAACTCAATAAAAAGGACTATTTTCAAACAGTTATTTTGCAGAGACGTTTCTTTTTCTTCTTCTCTTAATTATTGGGAGGAAACGTGTCAATAAGTAAAAGAAGTAAGTGGACTGTTTCAATCTCCTATGATGTCATTGTTTTATGGATGCGTTTCTGCAATCAAATTAGCTGAAAGGAGTCCTTTTCATTGAGTTTCATTAAAGTATTCCTTTTTGACGAAACTCTAAAATCGAGTTAAAGGAACGACTATTCTTACCAACCAATGTCCGTTGCACGAGCAGAAGAGGTTCCCAATTGCCTCTGATCCAACATGCTTCCATCGACGGCTTCTGCCTCCCATGTGGCACACCATCTGCCTTCTCATCACTCATCATTACAACGAAAGCCCTTTCACCCTTTAAATTTGTACATATAATGAGATACTAATTTTTTTGCTTCTTTCTTACACTGACTATCATCACATCCGAGGGTTGGAAATCATGCCAAAATTATTCGAATATTTCTAGTAGGTTTATTTATGAGAATTTTCGTATTTCCCTTTTGATCGGCCAAATCTTCCCATTTTTCTCTCAGAACGAACTTAAAAATCGCTTCCGCCCAAATTTGTACAAAATAATTCGTAATATTATATATAACTACTAGTTTTATGTTTATTTTACTTATAATATTTAAAATATTAATTAAACTGTATACAATAGTTTCCCTTTTTCTCCTATCAACCTTGGACTTTCCCTAAAAAGAGAACGTTTTAACCAAAGTGAAAACCCTTTATATGATTGACTATCTGATTGATTATCTGATTGACATAAACAATAATTTATTAGATTATAGTAAATCTTTTTTCATTAGTTCTTATTTTCTCATCACTCTTTGCTCCCAGGTATAACAGAATAAGCAATCGTATTTTATATTGTTTATTTTTATTCGGGCGTTTCGGGGATACTTTGTCCCCATCTTCAGATTTTAAAGAGATCCTAATTGAACTTTATTCCATCTAGATGCTCAAAAGCGTGACAATATAAAATTTATTAGAAAAACGATTTATCTCAAAAACTGTACATTTTTATTACATAGGTCTAGATTTTGCAAAATATTCTTGATATCTGTGTCAAAATCTTCAAACAAAAAACTTACCCAGTCTCGATCTGTCGACTTTTCAAACAATCTGAGTTTAGAAACCTCCCAATTTTTTCAATTACTTTTGTTATTGTTGTTGATATAAGATTTAATGGTTTGAAATTTAGATTCGTCACTTTACCATAAAATTCCCATTCGGTCAATACTTCATTCGTCAAAATCTATCACTCCTAAGAATGAATCTATAAATCGGTATTATTCATCAGTGTAATTTTTAAAAAAATTGGCTTTAAAAGTAAATAATGCTGAGATTTTTCAAGTATATGCGATGCGAATTTTGTAGCTATTTTTTGGGTTTTTTTTTTCTCTCTCTCAAGATGTGGTGGAGAGTAGAGCTTGAGCGTAATTTTTTTAACTGTTTTTCTTCCAAGTTATCCGGCATTATAGACATTTTTTTTTTGTTTCTCGTTAATGGAATTAACCGGGCGATGTTGCTGGTGAGGAAACATAGGACATGGTAGCGTGGAGCGGGTATTGATTGGAGAGGAGGCGTGTGTTGGTGATCCTAGAGTGGGATATATTAACCGACCCCTACAATAATTCAAAACGAACCCCGTTCCCAAATGACGTCCAATGTCGTTCCCAACGGCATCACTCATTTCTGGCAACTGCTAATATCAATATGCATTCTACATCTCATCTCATTGCCACGCCTATCCTTTCCATGAAACTGTAATAAATTTTATTGCATGTGGAATACATAAACTATAAACTTTTAAATATTTAAAAAGTATTTGCATCGATATTTGAAGGGTAGACGTGCTGAGAGAAACACGGTTAAAAATAATTTAATTCGATATTTCAGAAACAAAACATGTAGCGTTTCAATGATTTTGAATAAAAAAAAATCAATAAAAATAAAATGATAAAATATCAAAATTCATAAAAAATATATAATGTAGAAAATCAATTTATACATTATTAATGCCAGGTTTTACCAATATAGATAGCATTATATGTTTAGAATATCTTTTTGAAAATGTCATACTTGTGTTGTTTCATCAGTAAAATTCAGAGTATTTTATATAACTTAAATTCTTTTTTTTAAACACTAAATTGATCTGTCCAAAAAAAACAAAAAAAAAAAAAAAACAGCGTGAGGAGGAAGGTTATTACTTTCACTTAGATATATATATATATATAATATATAGTAAGGGGAAGTATTGCGATCGTGAAAATTTTCGAATCTGAGTTTTCAACGGAAAAATACGTTTTGAGGTCCCCTGAGTCCAAATAACCAAGTCCCGGTTTGCGTGTCTGTATGTGTGTATGTGGACAGTCTAGCCCAATAACGAAAAGTCATACGAGACTAATTTTACGTATTTAAGGTTTGTAGATGCCTTAGATGTTACATTAAATTTTTCGTCAAAATCGGCTAACCGGAAGTACCACTTTATTTCAGCTGTCACACACGTTTCTACAATTTTCTCAAAAACCGCGCTAACGATTTTGATTAAACTCAGAGTATCAATGTATAATTAATTGGCCTTTAATACAATTTAAGACTTGTAAACATTGATGTCACTTTACTGGGCTTAAATAATGCTTAAATGTTCAACATTTCTTCCTCTAAAGTACCTTTAATTTGCTTTATTTTAAATAATTAACTATCTTTCATTATTAGGAATTATGAAAAAATGCTAAATATAACTTTTGAAAGAATTCGATAATTGAATGAATGAGGGGAAAAAAATGCTTCGATTGAGATGTCACCAATAAAAATTAATTTTTTCAGTTGTCTTTTTTTTTTACGATACATTGAGCAGATATATTTAATGGACATAATTATTATAAAGAAATACAAAAACATTTAAATTATTGGATAGAAATGGTTTATTTGTAATTGATGATGTATATATCACGTCACTATTTCTTGACTACACAAAAAAAAAAAAAATTATCTTACGAGTAAATTAAGTTTTAATTGAGCAGTAATATATTTAATACTTTAATTGTACCGAATGTGGACCGCGAGATGTGGGGCTCACCCACAATCTTCTAAGGCAAGACTGGTTTATGAACTGGTACCTCCCGCGGTTCGCAAAGCGAAGCTGAAAAAAAAATTACACGAAGAGAAACACTTGGGAGTTTTGAAAAAAAATCTAAATAAAAGATAAACATAAAAATAAGAAAAGATTATAAAGAAGAGGTATAGGAGTGGGGTATACCTCCGGCCAGTTAAAACGGAGCTTTGGAATTAAGTTCATGCAGCACGCCATGTCAAGTCCTTCTAAGCCCATCGCCCGCCTTATTTTTACCGTCATTAAACTTCTATTATATGTCTTCTACCGTCCATTAAATGATCGTAACGTCCCGATATTAATAAATCAAAAAGCAATTTGGAAGTAGTTGATGTCAAAACAGATCACTTTCTCAATTTATTACTTCATTTTTTTTTTTATTATCACTAATATTTATTGCTTTTCCTTCTATTGGGTTCCAGCCCGATTTGTTAGTGAAACTCTGGAATTCGGAACGATGAAATTTTAATTTCGTTATGTATTTATGATCTTTGAAATATCTTTACTGATTAGCATTTTTAAATCAATTAAAATAATTACTTTTCGGTATAATTTAAATTAAATATGCTTGTCATCAAATATGATGCTCGTAAAAGTAAATATTTTAAATATAAATTGATAGAGGAAAACAAACTTAAATTCAAATAAACATTTAATTGAAACAATTAATTGCTATGGGCCTACACCCTATTTATGTAAAACTTTTTTGGGTTACTACTGGAACTTACATCTTAAATCGGATATAATTTACATTTTCTAAACAATTGATGCACCTAAAATCTCTGATGTTTCAAGGGTAGTGAAGATCTAAAGAGACACTTCAAAAGTTAAAACAAGGCAATACCCTCACCTCTCCCCCTCTCTCCACCACGTCTCAATGCGACTTGACAAAAAATTACTTCGTTCTCTACTCCTAATCGATCCATCACACAGCAATGAACCATTCAACGTGAGCTCGAAGAATATGCGCTACACGTTATCTGACACAGGACGTTAAATGCATTTATACCCTTTCTATTCTTCTTCGCACAGGTCTAACGCATATGCAATTTGTTAAATATTTCAAAGCATCCAAGTAATTTGTCTCGGTTGTGCAAAATCTACATAAAATAAGAATATATAAACAAAAGCATATAACTATATAATACAATAATACAAAAATACATCATCATTTTGATTCTATTATTTCTCATAATGATATTTTATTTTATGAAATCATAATTGTATTTTCAATTTAAATAGTAGATTAGAGCTATAGTTAGAAAATCAAATCAAATTCAGAACTTTTAGTCCTAAGCATATCCTTAGCATTAAATTGTTTAATATTATATTATTATATTTTAATTCAATGACTTGGTACTAACATATTTTTTATTAATCAGATATGCTTATGCCTGCAGTGCCGTTCGCGGACATGTCAGGTAGCCCCTACGTGGCGAAGCGGCGGACTGCGAACCACCCCTGTCCCGTTTGCGGGAAGCACTACGTCAACGAGGGCTCCCTCAGGAAGCACCTCGCCTGCCACCCGGAGACCGCACAGTTCGCCACCTCCCTCAGGATGTGGCCCTGTTCCGTCTGCCAGGCCGTCTTCACCCATGAGTCAGGTCAGTCAACGCTACACTATAATACATTTTATCAATGATCTCAATAAATAAGAACAATTAACTAGAAAGAGTTTGTAAAATAATGCTTTAACTAAAACGATGTGATATGTTGCAGGACTCCTGACCCACATGGAGCACATGAGGATGGACCCCAAGCACCAGTTCGCCGCACAGTACGTGCTGTCGCGAGCTGCGGCAGAGCGGAGGGAACGAGAGAGCTTACTGGCGGCGGCCGCGGGTGGGCTGGGTCTACCCGGCCTCAGCGGCGGCCCCGGGCCCGGCTCCCCGTCCGCCCACTCCGACAGCAGCGGCGGCGGCGAGGGGCGGCTCAGCTCGGCCGGCTCCGACACCGCCGCGCCCACCGCCTCCACGCCCAACACCCTCCTCCTCCACAACAATAACAATAACAACAACAACAACACCGCCACCGCTAAGCTAGCTGAGCTCATGGCAGCCAGATCAGGTCAGTTCCCACACAAGCATTTAGTCTGTCAATGGTATTTTAGGTACTTACCAAGTATTCGAATAAGAAATGAATAATGTATTCTCTGAACAGGTCTGGTAGATGCGAGCGGAAGCAATGGTCACCCTTTCCTGAACCAACAGGGTCAGAACTACAACAGTGAGGACCTACAGAGGGCGGCGACGGCACTGATAGTGGGGCAGCAGCAGGCGGCAGCCGCCGCGGCGATGGGAGTGTCGGGGGCCGAGTCCCCTAGCGGGGCGGCCTCCGTGGTCCAAGTCGCAGCGGCCAACTTAGCCGCCGCCATGAGGATGACCCAGTCCTCCGCCCTCCAGCAGAATCAGCAAGTCCACAGGTAGCTCATGTTTAATCCTTCATTACTTCTACTTTATTTTAATCAGTATCAATAATACGCACGCCGTTAAGGTCGAGGAGACTTTACAATAATTTGTCGATTTATCCATGTTTCAGTAATGGACAAGTAGGAGCGAATGCAGAAAGCATGTCGTCGGCGATGCAGCTGATGAACGCTGCCGTCCGTGCGTCGATGACCTCGATGGTGATGGACAACGCGGCCAACCACCAGCTGCAGGCCCAGCAGGACCAGGGCTCGGCCCTCCGGATGCAAGAGGTCCTGCTGAGGTCGCAGGCGGAGGCGGCGCTGCGGCTGGCGGTGACGCAGGCGGTGGTGGCCTCGACCTCTTCGGCCGACAACGGCCTGCGGGGGCCGCAGCAGGGCGGGCAGGGCTACCCCGGGCAGGTCTCCCCCGACCTCACCGAGGCCCTCCGCCTCCAGGAGCAGCGCCTCGAGCAGGCCCTCCGCCTCCACGGCGACCCGAGGGCGCTCGGCTTCTCCCTCTCGGCCAACAGCCAGCAGCACCACCTCAACCCATGAGACTTCTCCTATTTCTGAACTAGATCTTATGTATCTACTTAATTAGCTAATGTTGTACAAATTCCCACTGTCCCCTTTGTATTTCCATACAGCATGTATATCAGAGCATCGTGTAAATAAGTTTTTTTTTGTGTTGACGCTTCCCAATTATATTTAGTTTTATGACTGCGTAAGATTGGCAGAAATGGCTGACGTTATGATGAAAGATTAAAAGTTTGTCAGGATGGTTTACCGTACTGATGAAATTATGATATCTTTGCAATATAGCGATGTATATTGTTTTCAAGTATCCGTCATTTGTGCCAGAATAGTTTTGATGACGTCCGGAACATTCGATTCCGTTGTAGCCTGGTAGCAAATATAAATTCAAATTCCTCTAGTTGGGCATTATTAATTTTTAAGGTTATTTTATATCATAAATGTAGATTTAAATCGAATTTATGGCAGGCCTAAAATATTTATTATAAAAGGTGTATTGACTATAAAATTTCTATTGTTGGCGTTTACGGTCTGCCAGCCCCAGGCCAGCAACGGACCGAATGTTCCAGAGGCTGAACACGCGATTTCAAGTCCTTCCTTTCATCCAATGTGTTAGTGATATTTGCGTATTCGTTAAAGTGTACATGGAGAACTTACTGTAATAAGTAAGCGATTATTATTTATATAATTTTGTTATTGAAAGCAATCTATATAGCGGCGCGTTATTATTAAGTTGAGTTCCAAAATTCATAAATAGCCCGAACAATTGGTAAATTAGTGTATTTTTGAAACAATGACTATATTTCAGAAAGAAAAAATAATTGATTTTTATAAAATTATTAAATGACAGGGTGAAGCGAATTTTATGACTTTGGAATCTTTTAATTTTTGTTCTGGTTCAAAAGAAATGAGGAAAAATGTATTGTATTAAGGACAATTTTCGATGGATTAGAAAATAATATTGGTTGTAAGGAGTGAAAAATCAAAAGTCGGCTAAGTTTATTATACATATTAGAACATTTGAATAAAAGAATAATTATATAGGTATGTAGTCGTTACAACAAAATTACTATTTTATTATTACATAGTTTAAAATAAAATATTTTATCATTCAGCTCTTTTATGGCTATGAAATTTTATTTACATGAAAAAAAAAAAAGTTATATTGAAGACTCCACAGCTTCGGTCATAAAGCTCGCATCAGCCTTCAAAAATTGTTGCGTGGAAAGCCTTGTATGAAATGTATACTATGTCAATAGCTGTGGTTAGAGGTACTCGCCTTGTTTAGATTTTTAATTTTTATTCGATAGAAATTAAGTATGACGACTGATATTATTTAAAAATATTTTTTTTAATTTTAACCACTTTTATTTGTTATTTGGGGGTTGCAATTTATTATGTTTTTTTTGTAATATTTGAAATCTAGATTAATGTTATTATAATATATATATTTGTTTATTGTTTCATACATGAATTTACTAATATATTTCCTAGAAGAACAAAGAATTATAAGAGTAAAACAAAAACGTCAATAATTATATGATATTATATATGAGATGTTTTATATTAAATATATATATATCAGATGTAATTGATAATATTATATTCTTTAGTATGCTGATTTTCTCAAGAAAATTTGTTTAAAGTAGATATAAAGAATTAATGAATAGATTCTGTAAAAGATATAACATTTCACTTAAAGTTGCAATCAACACGGGCACTATTAGGCAAATTTTGTTGAATGTTTTGTGTTTTGTTTTTTGGGGAAAATTATAACCTGTCAAGCTTGACCAACTTTCAGAATTGGTTTTATAATTTTTTAAATAAATTGTTCCGTTGTATTGCTTTAGTTCTGTTGTTGTTTTTTATATGTTGTTTGTGTTGTTCTTTTCCTTTTCTGTTATTTCTTTCAGCTATTGTTCCATGACCAATGGTGCTTTAATTTGTTAAGTTATGAAGACTTGTTCGGCTGTTTTGTTTATTAGGCTAAATTTATTATGTCAGGTTTGACAAAGCAATATTTAATTCTTCCCCCCGTGAATATTTAATTTTAGATTAATTATTATATTTTTTTATTTTGTGTGGATGTTGATAGAGTGTTTGTTTCCCTCCTATGTCTCATTTACCCCACCAAGCTCAGATATATATAAATACATAAACATATAAATATAAAATTTCTCCTTTTTTTTAAAAAAAGAATAACAGTTACTATATACTCTGTATATTATATCTCTGTAGCACTTACACATTTTGGTGCAATCTACAGTCTCTATCTTATGTAAATGGACAATACTAGGTAATTTTTTACTATAGAATTAACAGTTGGTAATCTTAAATTGCAAATTTTATGCAACTTATGTGTAAGTTAGTGAGGGTTATAAGCCTCCAAAATTATTAATTTTTTATCGGCCAATATCTAAAAAAAAAAAAAAAAGAAAAACAGTTAAATAATATCGAAACAACCTTTATTGAAAATCAAAATCAAACTGAACGTCTTTCGGTCTATAGTTATAAGTTATAACCCTCATATATTTGTAAATATAATTGTAAAACAATAGACCCGGTTTTATGTAAATCACCCCATAGTGTATAAAATAGATGTATATGCAGTATGCCATACGCTGGCATATCTAATCACATTTTTTTAGAAATATGGTACTGTACATATAGAAGTGTTACTTCGGATATAAGGCACTTTGCTTCAGCTTATTTGCCCTTATATTCGTTGATTTCTCTCACCTGAATGCGACGCCTCTGAAACAAAAATACTGGCTATGATGACAATCCTTCACATTTATGTGCTCCTTCCAGATCAAATCATTGTCTAATATTTTATTACAAACATTTTTTAGTCCCTCAAAAGTCTAAAATACCATACTGCTGAAAAAGACTGGGTAAAATAGACGATGAATGACCTACCTTCTTGAGCCAATGTGAACCTATTTCAATAGTGGTGATGTGAGTTGTGTGAACAAGTTTAGTTTTTTCTATTATTAGTATGTTAGATAGGGGATAAGTGTTTCTTTTAAATAGTTGATTAACAGTTTCAGTTTTGACACTTACAACTCTACTTGTTTGGTAATATTTGTTTTTATCAATTCAGGATTCTGTTTCTGAAAATGTTCAAAGCGCTAAGTTCATATGAGTCATGCGTCACTGTTGAATGAGACCGAATCAATCAAAATCTCTCTATTATCTTCCTCTATTTTTTTCAGTCAATGTATCCCTTTTTTTTTCACTTGCCTGCTTCTCACTTCATAAGTTCTTCCCCATCTTTCGATCGATACACATAGAGCTTCCTCATTACTACAGACTGCAGCCTTTTTTCTTGTCTACAATTCTTTTTATTTACAGGAGAAAATGATCTAAACCAAATACAAAATAGCCTACTTCTTCAAAATACAAATCAGTACAGAATAGTCTGACACTATTATCATAATATTAAAAATTTCCACAACTGTAATAGTACCAATACACGTTCTGGGCTTTCCGGGGCGTGTACCATATACACCAATTTCATGGATTTGCAATAGCCCAAAACGTCTCAGTCGGACACTGGGACGTTCAATATTCTCACTCAAATTTCCCAATGACATTGCAATAGCTCTAATACATAATAACACTTGCTATTATGTACCATATACACACAATTTGATAAGGCGACAAACCGGCTTCACCATAATAGTCTGATACTATTATGTACCGATGATTGTATATAGCCCAAATTACATAAATAGTATGGCACAATTATGTACGACTACAATAGACCGTTTACATAATTAAAGATATTATGTAAACAGTATTTGTATATATTTTAATTGTACAGTCCTTTAAAGGTCTATTCGAGTCATTTTTTTTCAATGCTGCAATAGCCCATTGTGCTTCGGTCCCCACAGACTGGGGCGCACCATAATGCACCACAAATTGTGTTATTTACAATAGCCCAAATACATGGTTGTCTTTCTAAGATTACCATGTATCTACATATCTCTACTTGGCCTAGCCAGATTGAATCTCTCTAGATGCCGGAAACAGTTTTTACTGTTGACAATAGACAGGAACCACATTCGCTGTGGTATTTGCAAAACGTTCATAATTCACTCCGTAAGAACAGTGTCAATACATAATGTCAAATACTATTATGTAATGATATAACAGTATTTGCATACCTTCAGTAATCATTTGTCTCGCCTAAACAGCGAGGTTTTTCTTGTAACAGCTTTATTTCAAATAAAGTTGCTACATTCCATAATAAAATATATTATAAAATTTTTTCTTGTAACCGTTAAGTTACAGATAAATGTAATTGTAAGCTCATAGTTATTAATCTTTCTTTGTTTGCTGTGGTTTTATATTGTGGTATGCTTGAAAAACCAATCACATGCAGAAACCGTTTCCCATGTTAGTATATGTTCTCGTGTTACCATGTTAGATTTTTACTTTTAATGTTTTCATGTTCAGTTACTCTTACTTCTTCTATCTCCTTCTCCTTCCAGTTTGCCTTCTCTTATCGTTTGTTGGTCATTCATAATGATGATTAGTAGATTGTTTAATAGGTGCACATAAATTAAACAATTCTTGAAAACTTCCGACATCTTTGTTTAGAAAAAAAATCTGAAATGTTATACCAACTAATTGGAAATTCGAGTGGCACCTACCAACTTTTTGTTACTTATACGCCTTTACTTCACTTAAATACACATATGAACAATTTAGTACAATAGTTTTTACTTCTACTTTATAATCTGTTAAGTAAGCAAGAATGTTAAGATACATGAATGTTTTACAATTAACTAATTATAATGCATTCGGAGTCATTTCATATCAGAAAATGTTCAATAAATCTGTTGTTAACAATAGTACCTCTTAACTAATACAAATGTTGCCGCCAATGTGTTACTCGTATTTTAGTAGTTGCTGTATTATTATTGTTCTCAATCCTGTTGTGTTGTGTTTTTTTTTTAGTTGTTACTAGACCAATTTCTTTAGTATAATTTTAACAGCACCTTCCTACCTCTCTTATATGTTTAATTGTTTTCGATTAGTCTGTTAAATAGGTGATGCATTTGCAAATGCCTATGAACATTTTCTGATATTAGTATATGGTGACTATACTCTAATCAAATAGTAACCTGATGGTTTCAATAGGAAGAAAACAGTCCATATTACATATATTATTAAATAAAAACTGGCAATGAACGATCATAATATTTCGTTTCATCAGCCAAACTAAACAGTATTTCTTGAAATTGTTACACCACTTCAGCATTATATAGTGCATTATATGATATATATATAAACATGTCTATACATATAGTTAACTGGTTATAAACACGCAGCATCAGGTTATTATTTTAATTTCTGCTATAAGTCCAATATAATTGCTACGACAGTAATATTATTAGTAATATTAATATTTTGATTTGTAACAGTATGTAATAGTTTACAGGATGTCTTAGTAGTCTCAATATTTATTAGAATACATGTAATAATAATCAGCCATAATACAGTTAATATAATAAGTATTTATCTTTCTCTGATAGGTGTACCAGTAATACAGTTGTTCATGTTTGTTTGTTTGCCATATTGTCACATCACACCATTTTGGTCTATAGTAGGTTTATAATTTGCCACTTATTTGCATGACTTAAGGGGTGGTCATTATATTGTGCGCACGATCATACATTGCAAACATTTGACTTTCCGGTTAAACAAATCAAAAAAAGTGTTTACTTTGAATAGAATTCAAAAGAATAATGAAAAAATATATATAAAAATTTAAGAAAGCGTCCATTAGGCGAAAAAAAAGGAAATATGTTGTATGAGTTAGAATCGTAGCAACATTTTTATTTTAAACTTTAAAATAGTTTTAATGAACCAGCCTAAAGTATTTACTCTAAGTAATGCTTTCGCTATGTTTAAGTTCCTATAGGTTTGCAATGGTAAAACAATCAAGCTCCATCTAAAAAAAAATGAAAAATGTGTGTATGTTATTGAATGGGTGTGTAATTTTATGTTATGAAAATAGGCCTACATGTGTAGCTACATTATATTCCTGTACATCATATAATTTATTTTTAAAAATATATTCAGATATATGTATTCTTGACATTAGGATCTTGAGAGAAAACTACTCAGAATAATTAAATGATTATGATGAAAAAAAATTATATACAAAGTATGGCATTACATTAAACATTTGTTTCCTCATGAATGTGTTAAGATTTGGATGTTCAAAACTCTATTTTGTAGAAATATGTATTTTGGCATAAGTTGTTTGTTTATAAAACATTATTATGTCTTATTGATTGATACCTTTAAATTATAATAAATATAAAAAAGGAAACAAACCTACTAAAATATGTTGTGTAGTACTATTGATGTATTGGAGAATAAAATTTATTAAAGAATTATTCTTATCATTTTTAATACTTTCCCTGATTTTATTTAATTAAGAATATAATATAATAATTTTAATTTTAAAAATAAGTGCTACTAATTCACAATTGGTACTAGTACCAGAATCTGATCTTATAATATATTTAAAAGTTGGACAACTTTTTAAAGGCAATTTTCTAAATATCCAATGCTATTGCATTTACACAAATTTAAATCAATCTTTAATTTACTAAGTTTTGTATAGAATCATACATTTCAATATTTAAATAAAAGCTATTTATATTCCAATTAATCATGGACATTTTTTTTTTTATAAACATTAATTTAAGAGTAGATAGTTACCTAGAAAGAAATATAAAATTTTGAAACAGAATGCAAACCTAAAAAGAAGAAATTAGTCGTTATTAACATTTCCTCAACTATTTTTTATTTAATTCCAATAATAATTTATTTTAAGGTTTGTTTTTTAATTTAATTTATATTTTAATAAGTTTATTTGAATGTTCAACACCTACCTTACTTCTTTAACAGTAAATAAACAATAAATAGAACAACTTTCATTTCTTCATACTACACTCATTTGGACAAAATATCCTCTCCGTTACCTAAAGATACAAAAAATGAAATAATGCCACAAAATATGTTATGAAATTATGCAATTAAGGAGCTTAAATATAAAATTATTTTTTTTTAGATAAAATAGGAGTTTTTAAACTGCTATTGTAAGTGAAAATTTGCTGCCTTCTTCTACAGGAGGAGGTTAAAGTGGAGAATTTCAGTGGTGAATTTAATATTTCAAATAAGCCTAAGAAAATTTTTCAATGCAGTACTTGGTTTCTCTCCATGGGCCTGGCAAGAATGCCCCAATTTGAAAAAAATAATCAAATGTGAGATCATCAGAAGTAAAACAACAATAATAAAAAAAGGATCTTTAAATATAATTAATTTCTTGATGCCAATGACCCTTTCAGGCAGAGCCAAAACGGCACAAAAAAATGCAATTTTTTTTTAATGTACTTGTATTAAAATGATACCATTTGAACAATATTTCCCTGTCAATCTTCATTATTTTTTTTTTTAAATCACACTGTTTATATGTTCACAACGCTGTATTTTATTTTTTAAATTTTATATTCACCAATTTTTGTACTTGTTATAAGGAAATTTGATATCTTGTATTTTTAATGTATTACTAAATAATTATTTATATTAAATAAGAACATAAGCAGCACTTTTTATTGGAAATAATTTATAACATAAAATTTTATATGTTAAAATATCAAAGAATATCAATATCAAAGAATAGTAAACCTAGACAAAACACACACAAATTGGTGCCTTCCGATTGACTATTATAAATATATACCCCCAAATAGATAAATATATCCTTATAAATGTGTCCTCAAGTAGAAAAATCTGGTACTGGTGGAGCAATACAGAACTTTCAAAGAAATAGATATTTTTATATATAGGGATTCGAAAATAAAAATTATAGATGAGCATAATATATTCATTTAAAAAAAATTAATTTCTAAACGTTTCCATACCTCTAATCTATTAAATGTATGCGTTTTTCAACACTTTCCATTCCCTTACATTTATGTCCTTTATATGTTACACTCTTTAATTGATTAATTCAGTATTATTTAATAGTGACCACTAATTAGTTCGTAAAAATTACTCATAGTCATTTAAATGACAATTTGTGAGAGAGTTTAAGACATTAAATTGATTTGTAACGTTGGGCATCAACGCGATCTTTGGCTTTTGAGGTGAACCTTCTACAAAATTTTAGAAACAAAACAAAAGGTTAGCCAATCATCCAAGGGAATATACAGTATTATTTATTCTTAAATCATATTAGTACCTCATTGTAAATTGTAAAGAAGCGTTCATTTCTCATTCAGTTGAAAATCGTAATTCATTAGATTAATTCAACTTATATTGTGAGCAACACCTTCAATAAATTAATGCGAAATGCATGGGTACAGAGAAGCTACATACATATTAGAACTACTACATTGAGAAGGAAGTACAATTTTCGAACTTGCACAAACAGGTAGGGTCAAAAGTTCAAAATAGTGGGTTTATTCAAAATAAAATAATTTATTCGTGTACATTTTAATTTATAATTATGCATGATATAATGATAGGATATAAGACATGATATAATGAACTGTACTATATCTCGACACATACATTAAGAATCGATTATTTTAACTGACAGTATTTATTTATTTTAAAATCATGTCAGTACCTTATTGTAAATTGCAAAGGAACTTTTCAGTTCATTTTTCAAGTAGTTATAAACATTAATTCATTAGGAGACGCCATAAATTTCTTTTGTATGGAATAACTTTAATAGTTATTAGTTAGGGAAGTACATCGGCACGGAGTTGGAACTGCATTGAAGAAGAACAGTTTTCAAACTTGCACAAACGGGTAGAGTCTAAAGTTCAAAATAGTGGCTTTATATGAAAATGAAATGATTTTATCAAATATATAATAATTTTTAATTGCAAAGAATAAAATGAGTGCGTACGTTAAAAATCGATTAATTTAACTGGTAGTATTTATCGATTTAAAAAATATATCAGCCAGAACCTCATTGTAAATTGCAAAGGAACTTTTTGGTTCATTTTTGAGATAGTTTAAAATCATAATTCATTTGGAGATGTCATCAATTTATTTTATAAGAAATAGCTTTAACAATTGTTGTAAAGTTTATGTTGAAACGTATAATGAATATACAGTGCTATTTATTCTGAAATCATATTAATACCTTATTGTATATTGTAAAGAAGCTTCTGCGTTCATTTTCTCAGATATTTCAAAATCGTTATTCATTAGGAGATAAAATCAACTTCTATTGTAAGGAATAACTTAAAAAGTTGTTAAGTACAGCCAAACGGAGCTGAGACATCACTGCAGGCCAAGTACAATTTTCAAACTTGCACAAACAGGTACTTCGTGTCTAAACATGCGTTTAGACATTTCACAAACTATGGGAAACTCAATTATCTAACTTAACTAACAGCGACATTAATGCTTAGTTAAATTATTTATTTTATTTCTCTTGATACCGACAGGAGTTACAAAATATCAAAAACAAGAAACAAAAATACTACCATAGTGAAATAACGACTTATATATTTGTTTTTCCCATAGTTTGTGAAATGCCTAAACGTATCTTAAAGTTCAAATTAGTGAGTTTATATGAAAATAAAATAATTTCATCGACTACATTATTATTTAAAATTATATAGAATAAAACGAGTGCGTACATAAGCATCGATTAATTTAATTCACGGGCGGATCTACGGGAGGGGGGTCTTTTGGGCTGAAGCCCCCCCCCCCTCCCAAAAATGGTATAATATAACCATGTTTTATAGAAAAAAAAATTTAAAAATACCTCTTAAAGTATTATTGTTCGTGTAATTATATTTAAAACGACTTAAGGAATCACTTAAACACCATTTCATATAGGTAGTTAGTTTCTTTCTGTTTATCCAAAGTAATTATCGTTATTTTTATGAAAAAAAAAGTTTTCGGGCTGAAGCCACCAATAGATAACTGGCAGTATTTATTTTATAATGATATTAGCACCTTATGTAAATTGCAAAGGAACGTTTTGGTTCATTTTTCAGATAGTTTAAAATCGTAATTCATTTGGAGATTCCATAAATTTCGTTTATAAGGTATAAACAAATTTTCGTAAATGAGAATCATCCTTAAATTATTACAAAAAGCTCCACATAAGACTACTTCTATTCTCTATTTGAAGGCGCTCTCTGTTTTCTTATTCGCTTTCTGGTTGGTATGTTATTATGGAAGCAGGTCTTCTCAAAATAGTTTGGACCAACTTCTGTTTTTTACACTTCCTATTCAAAATAGTTTTATTTAAATAGAAACGGATCTCTTCCCCAATCAGGGGTGGGTCAGGGGGAATGAGGGAAGATTTACCCCCTAATATGTTATATCACATTATATATTCCCAAAAGTTGGAAATTTGACATTTGAGAACCTACTTCAAACTGCGAAAATTGTCGTGAAATATCCAAGGGTTAATAAAAATTAAAACTAACACCAATACCAAACAAATAGATGGGATTTTTTAAAAATTTAATTTTTGAGTAAGTTCTGTTCCAACTTTGAAATTGTATGTACGTTTGTTCCAAAATTTGAAATTTTATTCCTACCAATAAAACTTTGTTCCAACTACGGTGGTTGTTGATAAATTGTGTACCGGCTATTGAATTGTTGCAGATTTTTTTTCCAATTAATCACATTGTTGGGATTTTTTTTTTAAATATTCCTGTTCCTACCTCCCCTCTTTCCCCCCCCTCCACAAAAAAAAAAAATAAATATGGACTTGTAACCACGTCTCTATCTGTAATTTATCCCTATCTTTTTATGATATAACAATTATTGTTATTTTTTATTGTTATGCTTTCTCGTAAATTTTTTTATGGAAGAACTAAAAGTTTTCAGATGATTATCATAAAACAGTTTATCAAATGGTTTTAAACTAAATGATACGATAATTCCACAAAGTTATAACAAATAATGCAATAAAGGTAATATTACTTTTATCAAGTTTTTTATTTATCAGATGGTTTATAATTTGCATTGAACAATTCATACTGGTATGAATGACCTTCAGGGTATTTCAACTTATTATTTTTCCTTTTGTTTTTTCTTCTATACTTGAGGAATCGCTTGTGGTGAACAGTTCTTAACTTTCTATGATTTGATACTTCATTGGAGACACTTTTCTGAATATCATTTGGTTTCATTGGATCATTAATTTTTAAATTGTCGTCCTTAAAATAAGGCGTTTCTTCCCCTGCACTATTTACTTCATGGAATTCAAGCCAGGGTTTTAATGGAGCTAAAGCACCTTTCGAATTTCCTAAAATAAATTTTTCAGTTGCAGTACTTGATGGACTTTTCGAATTTAGACTTGATCGTGTTGTCAATTTAATATACTTATTCCCTATCTTATCCCTTGATGTATAATAAGGTGATTCTTTTTTTAATTCATTGGGCTCATAGGAAGACCACTGTTCTCCAAAATCATCCTTACTGCTCATTTCAGTCGCCTTTTCGTGTTCACTTTCGATTTCATCACTACTCAAGGTTATTGGTGAACTTATGAATTCACCTTTTAGTGGTCGAAAGTATTCTTTGTCTGAGGAATTGCGGGGAAAGCAACTGCCATCGGTGCAATTTGTTGATGATGTAATATTTGTCGTTAGCGAAAGCGTGTAATATATCGATGGGTGTTTTGTAGTGCGCTTTATTGGAAAAACATGGTTGAAAACATTATGCAGTTTATTTTTTAAAATGTCATTAAGTTTGTACTTCTCATGGAAGGACAGATGGTTTACATCGACGTCTTTAACATCTTGGTTGTATTCATAAACCAAGGGTTCTTCCCATAAGTTGTCAGTTTGCTCCCTGTTAAAGCGCCTGTAATTATGTTGTCTTGGCTGTTTGCGGCGCATCACGTCTTGGATCTGTTTCAGCCCGAACTCCAAGGGATTCCCTTCGTTGTCTTCCCATAAGAAAAATTCATTTTCAAAACTTTCTCCTAGTTTTGAATTCCTCGTGTTCTTGACAGCGCTGCGCTTTACACATTTGGTTACCGGGGGTGGGTTCTCGTATATGGAATCAGCGACGAAGGCTTCCTGGATGCTGTTTATCAAAGGGCTGTGGAGCCAGTTGAAGACAGACCTGGTCCACCTTCCGGGCTTCACCACGCTTTCCTTGATGTCATTGTTCAAGTTCTCCGGTCTCCTATCGGCCCATAAGAATGAACCTTCATCCAAGCCGTGACTGATGCCTAAAACCATGTTCTAATTAACAATTCAATTACGTGAAAAAATAAATAAATAGAAATATGTAAAGCAAATGTGTTTTTACAAGTTTATTTTTGAATGGCTTAATTCGTTACGTTTTATACTTTATATCATCCACGGGTAATGACGTAATCTCTCCACCAAAATTTTAAATTTATTTCTTAAGCTCCTTTATATTAAGTAGTATTTAAATTTAATTTAATTCAATATGTCTCTAATTCATAGGCTAAAGTTAATTATTCGCATACGTTTTATATTATTTTTTATTCCTATTGAGTGCAGAGATGGGCAAATGCTGCTCTGAGTACAGAGCACTAAGTATTTTACTCAAATTGAATTACTATTGGAAATTCAATCACTGCTTCAGTTAATCATTTGACATCAATTTATGTAGTAATTAGATTGTTAGGAACTCAAAAAGGTCACACTATTTGAGTCAAATACTTGACACTCAGCACTAGCGGATGCAAGATTAATTTTAAGGGGCTTCAACCCGAAAGTGTTGAAGTAGTCGGAAACGTCGAGCGGTTTCTTGTCGTTTCGGTCTGGTATGAGGATTCCAAGTTAGACGTTTATCCAAGTGAAGTCCAAGGTATCGGATTTGTTCAACAGGGATAAGTGGGGTATTATTAAAGGGTAATTTCAATTTTAAAAACCTAAACATGTTATAAGTATCACAGGAGGATCTACGGAAACGAGGAAGAGAAGCTTTCAGACTGAAGCCCTTTCCCCTCAAAATGGCAAAACATAATCATGTTTCATGAAAAAATATATTAATAATATATTATATTATATTTAAATATATTATAATAATATATTTCGGTCAAAATTTCATGCCTTTCATGACATTATATTTTGCAATCGACCTCACATTCACTGGTTGTCATTATCATTATGACAGGTGTGAATAAAAAATTAAAGCTAAAAAAAAAAGGATTAGCCGAGGTTAAGACCCAAGTATGTGGGTCATCATCAGTAATTCGAGACAAGAACCAAAGAAATTTGCGTTGCTTCGACGTAATTTACTCCTTTGTCAAAACGAGATATAAATTTAAAACAATGAAGTAATTGAAAATTTACATAATCACAATTTAATTAGATAGGCCAGACTCAGTTACACACTGTTTCTACAAATTTTACTTTTTTAACCAAAAAGAAAAAAAAGGATATAAGATAATGAATATAAACCGCCAGCAGATACCGTCGCCACCAGAACAATATTTTACAGAAATACTTCTGGTAAATTAATAAAAATAATTAAGTCCAAAAATGCAATATTTCCCATATCAACTTTAACTGGAGAACACACTATGCTATATTTAAAATTCCTTTGAAATAAAAACGTTTAATTTTAATAGCTTACCTGCATTAATGGTGTAGAGTAGATATATTAAAAGTTCTATCCGTAACATTCACTACCAAAGGTTTTTATCTGTTCTGCTAATGAATGGTATCATCAAAAAATGTTTTTTCATTGTTAAAAAAAAAATACCAAATCTAGTTTGTTGATGTAACAATTAATTTTAATAAAATGTTTAAATGGGCAGTGTCTTGAACTCTAGTAGCTAATAATAATTTCTTCACTGTAACACGAAGGTTTCTCAAGTTCAAATTATTCAAGTTACTTGAATTTCCCTCCTTTTTCAACAGCTGGAAGCATAGTTGGTTATCAGCTAAATAGGTTCATCCATTGATAAGCCTTGTTTTGTTTTTATGATAGTGGTGTCAATAGTGTTCTATCCTTCATTTCTATAGATGTTATCTTTTAATATTCATTTTTGAATCGTTTATAACTAATTTGTCGCCCTTCAAGAATTAGATTTGAAGTAATAATGACTTCTCTCATAGAGCAATATGAACAGCAATATGCTGTTTCTACTGCTGACTTTACTGCTAAAATTGCAAAATTAGCTAATGTTGAACGCTGTAAGTTCATAGACTTCCTCAGTATATAAGTATTTCATTCCCAGTTGTAATGCTCAATGAATTTGAATATTGTTTTAGCGGACAGGCGATTCTTGATACAGGAACTTGAAAAACAGGTTGAAGAACTGCGAGAATTGGTAAGCTTTTATCATAGTCATATTAATGTTTTGATATTATAATAGTTCTTTTGAATCCTGTGTAACTTTTTGTTGTTGTTTGAAGCTTGAACAGATGGAACTGGAAGTATGTGATGTAGATCCCACACTACGTCCGAAATTGAAGACTAGAGTAGAAAGTTACAGAGCAGAACTGGTACGCTTAGAAAAAGAATTCAGCAATGCATCTATTCGAAAAAATGGTTCGTTTTCACTGAAAACTTTTTCTAAAATGCCTTATAATGGTGGAATAAAAAGTTGTATTTGCAATAATTTGTGCATGTTTTTGTTTTAAATTTAAATATATTTCTAAATTTTGCTCTTAAAAACCTATTTTAAGCTGCATATTCACTTCTTCAGTTCCTGACACATCCTCTTCACTTGAGCAAAAATTTTCCCCGTACTTGTTTCTACTCTTTATTTAATCTTCATAGAGAATTCCAAAAGCATTTTTATATCTCTGAATCAAGATGGATTATTATGATATAAATTAAAACAATCTAGAAAAAGTACTGAATAATAAAAACAGAATTTTAAATAACAAAAATATTTAAAAGATTCAATTAGTTTAATATAATGTGCTTTTATCTCTATCTTTCTAAGTTTTTGAGTTTATTTTATGTTCTAGCAGCTATGGATTGAGTGTGGGGTGTAGTGGCTTTTAATATAACATGGCTCCATAGATGGGTAAAATCATAATTATGATGACAGTAATTATGATCACGTGATTACAGTTACAGTGATCTTGATTACAAGATTACTGATTATGATTGTAATCATATCATATTGTTGTTATATTTATGGTGCTTTTGAATCAAGTATAAAATTAAGTTTAATTTTCCATTGTAACCATTGATTCCGATTTTGCCCATCTTCGCCTGGCTCCTATAAGTTGGGATTATGACCGTTTAATGGATTGAGGAAATCCTGATGGTTGAATTCTGGCCACTTCAGCTTCCGTAACTATTGGTCAATTCAATAAACAGACCTTCCTTATTAAATATTAAACCTAAGACCCTTCATGAGTTTTATTTTTTTTTTTTTTGCAATTCCATAGAATAAATTAATTTATTTTTATAGTGTGTAAAATATTTATCGATTTTGGCATGAAATATAATAATATATAAACTTCTATTAAAAGGAGGGTACAGTGGCGATCAGAATGAAATCTTTGGTGAGATCAGCATCCGAGAAGAACAAAAGCAGCAATTGTTAGATACTTCCGAGCAGATTGAAAGAACAAATAATAAGTTAACTGCTTGCTATAGCGTACTATTGGAATCAGAAGACATAGGTAGCCAGGTACTGAGGGATTTGCAATGTCAAAGGGAGACAATTCAGAAATCAAGAGCAAGGGTAATTATATTATTTAAAAAACATTTTATTGAACTATTGATATAAATAACATTAGATTTAAACAAATAATAAAACTATTATTTTTTGTTTACTAATGCTCTAATAATTTCTTTTATAGCTCCGAGAAGCTGATGCAGATTTAAGTAGAAGTACACGTATTATGAATCTAATGATAGCTAGATCTAGGCAACATAAACTTATTATTTCAGTAATAGCTGCTGTCTGTAGTTTAGCAATATTAGTTACCGTTTATTTTTCAGTTACTCGGAGCAGTTAGTCTTTAATTTGATTACTGTAGAATAAGTTTTAAGAAATGTTTCTAACGTTCCAAAAGAAATGTAACTTACATTCACAAATTTTATAAATGTTGTTCATCACAATCGTTATTAGAAGATATCCGCTATTATTTTATTGTAATTTGTTGAAAAAACACCATTCATTCCCATATTTCTTTTTTATTTTGCATGTAAAACTTTGTGCCTAAAAAATTATATTTGAGGTGCCTGATATATACCTCATAAAATTTTTTGACAATTTTACAGTGTATACATTTATACATAGTTTATACAAAAATGTGTTAAAAGATGTATATATTCTAAAATTTTTAATTTTGTAAATACTTCTAAAGCATATAATGTTAACAGACTGAAAACGATTGACCTTAAGGTCTTTAAATTTTAAGTACCTACTTATTGTCGGTATTAATTTTGTTATTGTTTATTTTATTTATTATTTGTTAAACCTGAAATATCAAGACTGTCTTTTTTTTTATTAATATAATTTGTATTATTTAATATTGTTATTGGTAATTAAAATTAAGATTTTATAATTTAGCATTTTTTAAAATAATTTGTCCTAGCTCTTTGACCACTCAATTTAAATTAAATAAAACAGTTGTTATGGATTGATTTAAATTAATACATATTGATTTATTCATGAAAATCTATTTATTATTGATGAAATTCACATAAAAAATTAACATTCTCAGTTTTTTAATATTATGAATTTAGGCATTCCTTATGTTAAGGTGATAAGTTAAATTTATGCAAGAGCTCTATTCTGTAGACTCAGAGATCATCGAAAACTTTTTGTTTATCGGTTCTATTATGCTAATTTTAAGTCTTAATCAGTATTAGATTATTATAATTAAATTCACAAATAATTTATTGAAAAAAATGTTTCTTTTTAATAAAACTTCTGATTTCCCCAGTTTTGTAATTTAATTAATTGTCCCTATAAATTGCAAAATGATGTTAAAGTAAGTTATTGCATCAATTTGCAAAAACGTAATACGTACTATGTACCCTAAAATAAGGAACTTAAGTACAATAACATTTAACATATTAAGTTATTAGTTTTTAACAAAATACCTATCTAGTTCCCTACAATTTTATTTATAGTTCGCCCATAGCAATATAGCAAATTAAGTTGAAACTAATACTTTCCTCCTATTGCCTTTAACAAATAGGTTTATTTCTTAATTAGCTTTTCACCTTTACAGCAAAATGAATCATATATTTTTTAAAAATTCACATTTATTTAATTTTTGTTTTCATTAACAAGCTCTTACAGTTATGTTAACTAGATTTGTATTATAAAAAAAAAAACGTATTTCATTATGATTTTCAGGATAATGCAAGTTTTTTTTATTTTTGAGTTATGGAATTAAATAATTTTAAAAATCCATTATTAAATTGAAATATAGGAAAAATTTAATATAGTATACTTTTCATACACTTCAAGTTAAAGAAATCTGGTATTGTTGTTTTTATTATTACTTGATTAGGCATTGAGTTACCACTAAAACTTAGAAGTCTTCTTTTGTATTTACTCCATCTAGCAATATATGTTTCAATATATTGATAATGTTGTTTATCATTTAATATATTGGCATTGGTCTGTGTGTGAGACCACATAACATAAATCTCAACTTTTCAACTGAGCTGGAAAAACTTGAAACTAAAATTGAGATTTTTTTAGACAGTAACGAATATACAATTGATAACAGATTAATAATTGATTGTTGTTTGTAAATTTTTGGTATTAATTAAATACTCCAAAATCAAAATGTTCTAAGCTTAAACTTACACAGTTTCACATTGAGACCAGCAATAGTTTTTTTTTTTTTTTGTCAGAGCCTTACTCATTGACCCAACTTGATTTCTCACAGATAAAAGTTGGTGTATTATCAAAGAAAAAAACCACACCATATTTTGTTAGTAAAAATCTTTATATTATGAATGTTAAACGTTTATAAATATGTATATTGAATTCACTAGTATATAGAGTAATATTCCTTTTCATCATTCTCTTGAGATACAGTCTCAAAAAATTGGAACATCGTAAGTAAATAATATCTTCTTTTTTTTTTCTAAATCAATGATACTTAGGAAATGAGATATCGTGAAAAATTATTATTCATGTTTTATTATTTCACACCGAAGAGACCTAACATACATACCTAGTTTTTTTACTCCCCAAGTTTATATCCAATTATAATTCATTACCTGAGCCCATTTTATTATCATTGCAATTGTTTCACATTACATCATTAAATATTTTCATCCACAGCCAATTTGGATTTTATGACTATTATATCCACATGAAAAAGTAAAGTGCGTTCATTGGTCATATCACATTTGAAATATATGAAAAAAAAAAAAAAGATTTTACAGAAAGCATCTTCAGTTTGTTAGCCTTACATTAGGTTTTTCATGACTATTTAATAAATTAATAAACTACTTTAAGAAAGCGTACAGAACTCTAGCATGAATGAAGTATGCAATGAAGGTTAATTTTATTTCTTTGTTTCTTTTTTTCTTCCGAAATCAAATCTAGATAATTCAACTTATATAGTTTTCATGGGAAAAAAAGTCTCAATTCAACTCTGATATGCTTTAAAGTTTCGACTTGTGTGTCATATATAGTGAACCCAAACATTTATTGGAAGCTGTGCCAGCATGTTTGTTAAGTTTTCCATATTGATTAAATTTTAAGGATACTTCTCCATAAAAATCTGTATATTTTATTATTGTAAATCCTTCCAAAGGCCATGGAGATACATTTAAAATTTGTAAAAAGTTGCTCCTTAGTTTTCACAGTTATCAGTTACAAGCAAACAACAAGCTGCGGGGGGGGAGGCATGCGTATGTTACAGCATTTTAATATTATTATTTATTGAACACGTCCAGTGTACTTTTATGTATTTTTTATGAATTAGGTTAGAAAGAGAGAGGAGAGAATGTGAGGAGTGGGAACATGTATAGGGGGAGAGAAGGAAGAGAAAGGGTACAGAATGATAATAAATGAATGAAAGAAATAGTAAAAATAAAAATAAAAAAAGGAAAAAAAAATAAATAATAAATATATATGTATAAAATATTGTATACTATGCTCATACATATTGTTAATCCTATATAATTGTATAATAATTTTAAATAATGTCTGTAGTGATTAATAAGTATGCTGTGTTGTTAGCAACCCAATGTAATTGGGCAGCACCATTTTATTTTATGATAATAAAGTGATTCTCTCTCTCTGTTTATGCTTCCCTCATTTTTGTCTTTCATCTCGTTTATATCCTGGCTGCATTTCTGGGATGAATAATATTTTGTTATTTCGGTAACATTTTTAAAAGCATCCAAATGCAATTCCAAGCACGCTAATAAAACAACAATGTAAAATTAGAGTTTAGTGTTATTAAGTGTACTTTAAAAAAATCTATTATGATCTTTCTTTGTAAGAAAGAGGATATCAAAAACAAGAAAAATACCCGGTAAAACAACATCCATTTAGCAAAAAAAGCACATTAAATTGGTCCAGTAGATTTTCGCAATTAGCACTCATAAATAAATATGGGCTGTCATTTTGATAGTATGATTAATGATAATCTACAAATGTTAAAATGAAAAAAATGCATCTAATGAGCTGTCAAATAAAGGTAATGGTAATTGAAAGAGGAAACAGATTAACAACAATAACTCTTAAACACTATGTTCCAAACATTTTATTACAAAATAAACATATTCTTTACCTATTAAAAATAATATAACATATATTAACAAATCAAGCACCAGTTTTTAACTAATTATAAACCAGGACGGATCTTTGGTATGTTACAATTTTGATTCAGTCAGCCAGTTAAATGATTGTGCTTTCCTTCCAGCAGATGGATTTATCATCACATTGATTATGGTAGGAGCATCTTTAATCTGTAACAAACATTTATTTTCATTAAATTAAAAAAATACCACAAATAATTATTTTTAAAGTTATTGGAAATTAATATGGTACTACCTTTAAAGCTTCCTGCAAGGCATTTTGTAATTCAGGAACAGTTCTACAAAAGAAACCCTTCCCACCATAGAGCTTAACCATTTCTTCGTAATGTACATCTGGTGTGAGACATGATGGGGGTGACCTATGTTATTATAAAAATTTAATATATTTAAATTTCTATTGAAATAATAAAAAATCGATTCATGGTTTTAAGGCAAAGAAATAATTTAAACAAATATTCTGATTATTCAATAATTATTCAATCTTTTATTATAGTTGAATCCATATAACATACATTCCATAGATAACTTCATAAAAAATATAAAAGGTGAGATAAATTTCTTTATTTTAATTATGATTGATCTGAAATAGTCTTATGAAATCAAGTTTGGTTTGTATGATTTCATATCTTCATTCTGTTTAATGTCTGTCTGAAAATTGTATCTAGTTTGAATCATAAATTTTAAAATATATTTAGTCATATAATCTATTTATATCATATATAATTTAATTAGTCATAATATTTTATGTTGCTTATATTTTTTCCTGCTAAGTTAAACATTTTTTAAAATCTTGTTACTCTTCTTTTCATCTTAATAAAAAATGTCTAAAATATATAATTAAGATGAAAAGAAGAGGAAAAACATTAAAGATGTAAAACTCATTAGAAAGAAATACAAGCAATATAAAATATTATTACTAATTAAATTATGTTTGATATAAATAAATGATATGAATAACTGAATTTAATTTATAATTCATAGAAAACACAATTCCCAGACGGGGATTAAACAGAGTGAAGGTATGGCATTTAAATATAAAAACCACACTCGATTTCATTAGAATTTCTTGATTCAATCATAATTAAAATATAGTAATTTAAAGTTAAATAATTATTAACATTACATTATAACATTCCTGTTTATAATGAATATATAGTCAACAACCCTAATATAACTTTATAGAAACAGCTGTAACAAAAAATAATTATAAAGTTCTAAAACTATAACTCAGGGAAGGGGGGCTGAATCAATTAAGCTATAAAAACAGTCTTGACATCTGAAAAAGAGGAAATAAATACCTAATAAACCAAATTTAAGGTTATATTAAACTTACACATATCCGATTTCTCCTTCAGATCGAACTTCTTCATACGTTTCTTTGTCAAGACCGCCATAAATTCCATTGTTGTTTACAATCACAATTATAACACCAAGTTTGTACCTGCAACAAAATTTAACCTATGTAAAACAAATTCTATTCCAAGATTAAATTCAACAAAAATCATTGCATAATGCTAAGACTGGTTTCACATAAGATGGCTAAGTGAACTCAACTAGATGCTTTGGCAGGTTTGATCAGTAGACGAATAAGCTTTTTAAGTATGAACCATCTTCTTCCGTTTCACAAACAGTCAACAAAGAGGACAAAGTAGATGTATTTCTGGTACATTTATTTGTCACTTATAGGCTCTCACTAACCAGTTATACCTGGACCACTTGGGGCAAGGAGGAGGATAATTCTCAACACTATAAATAAATTCTTATTATTAAGAAAAAAAAAATCCTAATACCAAGCTGGTTTATCTGATTTGGAATTCAAAGCACTTCTCAATTACTATCAAGTTTAAGAGGTCAAATATTTATTCTTGAAAAATAAGGTATGGCCATTTTGGAAAGTATGCCAAGTTTTTAACTGAGACAATTGAAAACATAATACAACCTACCAACATCTACATCTTCATCAGAGATTTTTCCTATCATGTGAAAAGTTTTATTAACTACTTTGGGATCTCATCAACAACTTTTATACCAGGAGTGTAAATATACCAGAATTTGTCTATAGATGGCTCTATTTGTTAATCTAGTTAACGTTAAACAGCATTATCATTAAGTAACTTTTGACCAGAACCTCTCCTGGGATAATCAAATCATATCTTCTAGATTACCCGAAAATCCATAACTGCCCTTACACATCTCCTAAGATTCCGTGATTGTATTCCTCTAAAAACCAGACAGCTCCTTGCAACCTCCCTTGTATTCCCCCACTTCGACTACGGCTGCTTGTTGTATGGAGGGCTATCTGCCAGGCTGGAAATGAGACTAAAAAGACTCATGAATTATTTCGTAAGATATATTTTCGGGATCCCTAGGTATTCACATGTTTCACTATGGTACACCGAGTTGAAGTGGCTTTATCCTACTTCCCGACGGCAATTCCTTCTTGGCGTTTTCCTTTTCCAAGTCTTCAGAACCAAAAACCCTCCCTACATCCTGGAACTCCTTACTCTGCGCTCCTCTAACCACTCTCTCAATACTAGGTCTCAACCTATAGACTTATATATTCCCTCCCATAAAACTTCCTCCTTAAGCAAATCCTTCGTCATTCGTGCTGCTTCCTTATGGAACTCACTTCCTACCTCCATGTGTCAATCCTCATCCACAAATTCCTTCAAACAACTCCTGTTCCAACACCTACTCCACATTCAAACTTCCCCTAACATGTAAAATTACTTGCATCTATACAATGTTTAATATCAATCCATTGCACAATTGAAATAACAATTAACAATAAATTAGTTGGTATTTTTATTATGTCAGACTAAGATACATAAATTTGTAACTCTGTTATTATTCTTAGAGAACAGTAGTCCCTGAATAAAATTATTTTTACATGTTTATTTTTCATTTCATTATTGGCATCATTTTGTTTCTTTGATAGCTGATAAAGATTTTCAACTGACAGCAATAAAAGTTTTGTATAATAGCATTGATTTTTAATAGTGTTGAACATGTCAAGTTTTGAGCCAACAAATAACAATTTGTGGACATTAGTTTTCTGTTACCATTTAAAGAAAACTGCAGCATGATCGCATCATCAGAAGAGTGTGATCTGGTATAAGATGCTAAAACTTGGCAAAACCGTTAATACTGAACATTATGAATGGGCATATTTTTTTTTAACTTACTTAATTCATTTCATTCAAATAGGATGAGCATTTTAAATAGGATATTCCATGTAATAGTTTTTGTCATTTATATGCAATAAAAATGTATTTTCTATACAAAAGACCAGTTTCATATTCACACAGGTGTTGGACAGATGAAATAATGAAAAAATATTTTATTATTCTGGGACGCTTGTCTCTTTAGAACAAATTATAAGTACAGATTGTATGTCTGTGTGGTTACAATTAGATTATATATTTACAGTAAGAGTCTACTAAAAATAAAAATACTGAAGAAGAGAAAGAAAAGAACAAGAAAATTGTACATATATATATAAGAAACTAAAATAACCTAAATAAATTGAGGTAGTCTCTGGGGGTGCTTAGATATTTCTCTTAGGATTGAGAAAGGAGAAGGTGTTTAAAGAGGATAGGTTTGAAAGAGGAAACTGATTGAGCATGTTGAATATCAGCAGGGAATTCGAGAGGGAGACGGCTTGTATTGCAAAGGATTAGTCAAACGCAGCAGTTCGGTGAGGAGGAGGATAGAGGTCCGAAGTACGAGATCTGAAGATATGAATCAATGTGAACAAAATCCAGAATCATCAATATTGATAAAAGTAATATGATAGTTCTAATCAACTCTCGCCAATATTAATTAAAATGATACATTACCTAAACATAGTTTCCACTTCCATTCCCGAAAATCCAAAAGCGGAATCACCCTCCACACAGATCACCCTTTTAGATGGATGATTCTTTTGACAGTGAAGAGCTGCAGCAATTGCAAAAGCAGGTCCCACTCCCATTGTTCCAAACGTTCCTGTAAAAAACAGTATTATTTAATCTTTTTCAAGATATTTATAAAACTATATCTCGACCATAATTAATTGGCATACCAAGGGCGATTTCATGAGGCACTGAGTTGAAACCAACATTTCTTTTTTTCCAGAGATACTACTTACAAGTACATACATATATTACAAGATAACAATATCATCTTATAAATTAGTAGGAGGTAGAAGGTAGTCTATCTTCTACGTGTTTTTAATGACAGTTATAAAGTATTAAATATTAAACTTTGTAGCTACTTTGGTTTTTGATATGCCACAATCTACTTTTTTCAAAATTGATTATTTACTTTTTAAATCAATTGACATCTTATGGTAAATATTTATTTTTTAAACAGAATCAATCTCCACACAGATCATTCTTTTAATCAATATCATATTGACTTTGAAATTCACAAAAATGAATAGACTTCAATACACCTTAAAATATTTGTTAGCTACCAAGTGTGTTGAACATTATTCAGAGCTCATGAAAAAATATACACAAATAAAAGAGGCAATGGAAAAAATTAATGGGAACAAATTATACAAGTAAAAAAATATAGTTAAAACTACAGTGCAAGAAGTTGAAATGTTTGCCATGTTCATGATAACATACTACTGATTACTGTACAGAGAATTGAGAGTGCTAAAATTGTTTGCCAGCATTAAGACAGGGTGCATAAAACCAATTTTAAGTTTTTAAGTACTTCAAAGTAAATCACAATATTGCTTATTCATCCCTCTTTTCCCAGTCCGCTGGTGTTCCTCAAGATAGTATCCTAGGTCCTATCGTTTATACAGCTGATATCCCGACCCATCCTAACACTGTTATTACCACGTATGCCGATGATGCATGTGTCTTATCTGTTAATAATGATCCAACCATTGCATCCCAAACTCTTCAATCACATATCACAAACCTTGAAGAATGGTGTCGAAACTGGAGGATTAAAATAAATTCTAATAAATCCCATCAAATCACCTTTACCCTTCGCCGTAAACCTATGACCTCCTGTCCTACAGTGTCCTTTAATAATATCCCACTCATCCCTGTTGAACAAATCCGATACCTTGGACAAACGTTTAGCTTGGAATCCTCATACCAGATTGAAACGACAAGAAATCGCTCAACGTTTCTGACTACTCCAACACTTAGTAGACAAACACTCTAAGTTTCCAGTTCATTACAAAAGACTCATATACATGACTACAATAAGACCTATTCGGACTTACTGAGTTGAGCTTTGGGGCTCCACTAAGCCATTGAATTCCTCTCGTATCCAATCCAAAATCCTTTGGAAAATCCTCAATGCTCCTTACTTTGTCACCAATAAAATAATCCATAACGACCTTAATGTTCCTTATGTTTCCGATTTGGTCCAATGCAGATACTTATCCTTCCATAATAAACTTCAGAATCATCCGAATCCTCTCATCTCTAACCTTGCTTCCTCTTCTATCCCTGATAACCCTCCGAGGCGTCTGAAAAGATGGCCTCGAGATCTCCTATTGTAAATACATTTTTTTTTTTAGAGTGCTTCCAGTGGGTAGTTTCTCAACAAGTAATTTCATGTTATTATTTTCTGTTATCAAATTTACTAAATGTATTTATTTATTAATACAGTTGTAAATGTCATAAATAAAAAAATAAAAAAAGTTTTTTGATGATTGGCAGAACCATTACTAAACAGATTTTCAGCTACAGAAAATTTCTCAAACAATACCAAATAATATAATGTTACTTTAAATCCTTCATTCTTATATTTCCTTAGAGTGAATGTATTGCTATGTTAGATGTTACGATATCTTGTCCACCATTTATTAGGGATTCCAAACTGGTACGAATGGCATTTTTCAAAAAAGATTGTCTAGTTAAAAAAAGTAAATGGTTTTTCTAAGAAATGAATTTATGAAATTTAATAATTAGACAATTGAGACATGATGATCCTTTATCAGAGGGGTAATTCAATCTGCTTCTGAAAGAGTAATTAGAAAAGAAGAAGAATCACTGGAAGTTGTAGTTATCTGAATAGACACAAACTCATAAAAATGAAAAAAATAAAATGTGATGAGAGAAATAAAACTTCAGTTTGGTCCAAGAAAAACAGACAACTTCACAGCTTAACTATTCAATTTATTTATAGAATTGAGAACGATTTAACATTTCACTTACGTCAAAAATTAAATGAATTCCAACAATAGTTACCTGCATCTAGTCTATGACGAGCAAACTCGTTGAATAACATTCCACGGCCAATGTCCATTGTGTTGGCTCCTTCACTGACGATTATACTGTCTGAAAAATATAATATTATAATAATATAATAATGTTCCTATGTTTTTATTTATTCTATTAAAAAACCAATTAATTATAATAATTTAATTTACTTTTATATGAATTTGAAGTTTCATGGTAAGAGACACTAGACTTGAAACGGTTATAAAATTAATACTAAAATCAATATATTAAAATTAATACTAAAATTAATATATAAAATCTCTAGGGATATGAGAAATAGGTTACCTTTAGGAATTATCTCCTGCATGTGATGGAATACAGTATAATAGTTGAGAGGTACAGAGGTGTCCTTGGCCATTTCCTAATTTAAAAAAAAGAAGATTAATTTATTAATTATAACTATTAATATTAAGCATGTCAATTAAATCATACTGGCAAACCCCAGATAGAACACTCATATTAGATATCTATCCCTCTCCCTAATATATTAGACAAATAAACAACAACGAACCATGTTTATTCGTACATACCATAGGTGGGGAACCAAAGCCTTAGTGACATGATTGCGGTCTCTAAACCTGTTTTGGACAATATTAGTTAATCCATTGCTAGAATTACTTAATATTTAATTATTTATGTAAGAACAATTTGGAAATTAATAGAATTAAGTTGAATGCACATATATGGGTGTGTGCGTATTTAGTAATAAATAAAAGTAGCAATGGTAAAATGTAAAGAATTATTGTGGCCTCCATTGGCAATGCCTAACTTTACTAATGATAATGCCTAACTGCGGCCTCTAATGATGCTAATGACGATGAAAAATGTTCTCCACCTATGGTATTTACAATATATAATTAAGATATTGTAAGTCTATTCCACATAGAAAATTTTAAGTAACAATTGGCTTATTTACTTATAATTATCTATTTATTATACTTATTTACTTAATAAGTGATTAGCTTATTCCATTGGAAAATGTCTCTCCAGTTTATTAGTTAGGGAATAAGAGACAGAATAACCCGTTATTATACTTGTTCAAGAGCTATTTGTTTGGAGTATTAGAATTTTTAGTTCATCTAAGTTTAACATAAAAAGCAATATTTTAATTTATAATTTCTAAGTACGTCATAAGTATCCCATGGCAACAAAAACACTCAAAAGGTATTCTGCGAGAATTATATTTACAGGACATTTTTATACTTTAAAATGGAGGATTTAATAGATCCTTTTGAACTACCTTGGATCTTGATGACCGCGTGTCAAAATCTAAAATACAATTTATCCTATCTCAATTTGTTAACTTTGAAACCATCTGAGTTTTGAAACCCGATTTTCAATGAATTTTATTAACGCTGTTTAATAAAAATTGTGATTCTTTATTTCTTTATGAATTTTTTTTTGTTTGATGCCTCATTCATCAAAATTAATCTTATGAGAGCCAAAAAATACAAATACACTAATGTATCATTCACCACACTATGAATCATTCACCACCACGTGCATGGCTAGCCTGAGAGTTTTAATTTATGTATTTATTTAATGAAAAATTGAAAACAATAGAGAGAAGTGAGAGAAAGGGAAATTAAATGTTAAAAAAATTAATAAAAAAAAGTAAAAAGCATGAACAATGAAAGAAAAAAAAAATGTACATATTTACATAAATATATATATATTACTAATATAAACTAACACTTATGTATATTTATATATAAGTTCATTTATTGTCCTAAGGATTAAAGAGTATGCTGTGTATATAGCAACCCAATATAATTGGGCGGCAATCTTTTATATTTTATATTTTTATGAAAATAAAGTGTTTCTCTCTACTGGGGAGATTAAAAATAGCCAAAACAAATTCTTACAAATGTACTTAATTAAACCATAGTTCAAACATGCCCCTGTGAATAAAGGCAACTATACAGAAATGCAACACTTACAGAGACAACTTTTTTGTTTTTATCACATTTTTGTCGAAGTTCTGTCCACCATTCGGAATTTTGACTGAATTTCCAACTGCCTAGAGCTTTAAGTAAGGCATTTGTAGTAGCTCCGATATCTGCTTGTATCGCAACAGCTGCCGTGACACTGTTATGCAATTCTTCAGCACAGATATCAACCTATAAATAATATTAAATCTATGTATTTATATAATTATTTCCATAATTAAAAAAAAAAATTCGCAGGGCAGAAATATCAATTATTATTAAAATACATGTTCTGATTACAGATATTTTATTAATCAAATTTATTGAATACAAAATTAAGAACATTATAATTCAAGATCAGATTTTTATGCAGTAAATAGTGTATTGAAAAGCAAACAAATAAAATAAAAAACAGTTAAAAGAGGCAATGAAATAAATGCAATTATTACCTATTTAATTTTATTTAAAAAGAGCAAATCCTAAGCAGCAAAATTAATTTAAGTAATTAATTAATTAGTAATTAATTTAAGTAAAAAATTTACCTACTTTCTAAAATCATGTGGTGTTAAGGTAAGTACAAGTAGTAGGTAAAACAGATTTAAATATAGAAGTAAAAATTTGTTTAGCATATGAGTAAAGAAAATTGATTAATGCACAATAAAAATACAACTTTTTAAAAATCAAAACATATTATAACAGAAAAAATGAGAAGTGAAAACCTTAGTTTATAAAAAATAATATAAGATGAACAACCGCCAAGAGATATATTTTAATTAAAAATGCAATATACATATAAATTTTCTTTTTACATAATAAAATATTGGAAAAAGTAAATAAGGAGAAACAGGCAGAGGTACAGTCAGGAGAGAAAACACACATAATTAGAAAGCTTCATTTAATGTGTGCTGATATTCAGACGTATATCAAGGCAACCAGTCCCCAAGTGTCAGGGGGCAACACTGAAGAATTTTAGGAAACAGGGAAATCTATAATGATATCTCTGCTATTAAAAAGAAAGTTTAAAAATAAGACTCAAACTAAACTAAATAAATAAATACATATGATAGAGATAAAAAGAAAGCCAGATGTAAATGAGTCTTTTTTAGCCAGTTATCATTGGATTAGTATTCGGTTAAATCATAATTTATTTTAAGTAAAATTTAAAAAAATTAAATAATTTTTTTTAAATATATTCATTCTCAGGATATAGAAATCTCAAGACTCGGTAATCCTTACCTGAACTATAGATACATCCTTATTAAATCGAGGAGGCTTCCCAAAATGTAACATCCAGTTGAGACGTGCTCCGAGAAGGAGGATAGTATCAGCACCCAGTAGGGCACTTGTTCTAGCAGTAGCTACGCTTAAGGGGTGACTGTCAGGAACAACACCCTTCCCCATTGGTGTTGGAAGAAACGGCAGTCCAGTAGAGTTAACCAAGTCAAACACCTCTTTCTCGCACCGCCCATAACTGGCACCTGTTGGATGAATATTCTACTTCAACATTATCGAGACAGTCTATTCAAAACATACAATTTTTAAGTAAGAATTTACTAATGAGGATAACGGGAAAGAGACTTATATCTGTGCCCCGGAGGATAAAGAACGCCATGTTCATTTTTTTATTAAATAATTTAGTGACTAAGAAACAAATTTCAATAGCTCAAAGCTATAGGAAATTGGCTCCTTCAGCAAATATAAAAATGTGACAAGGTATTCTTTACTTCTGGAGTACAGATTTAGTCAAATTTTATTTTATTTTGACTTTGATTTCAAAACATTTCATCAATGTTCATTAATAGTTGGGAGTAGACAGACCAAGCTTGAAATAAGATCCTAGTCTACTTTTTCTTAACTGTTATTGGTTTATTATATTTATTTAAAAAATATGATAAAATACATTTTGAACTAAATATTTTTACTCAGATATGATAGAGTGAAAGACAAAATGGAAAGATATTTATGAATAGAACTTTTGAAGCTGGACTATTCTGAGCTAAAAAGTATTATATAAGGTATGAGTTAGGTATTGCCAGCCCTTGAAATAGCCATGTCTCTTCTCTTGTGATGTGGGCCTGTCTCAAAACTAAGGTTAACTATCTTTGCAAATAAACATCAGTGAAATTAAGGACTTATTATGTTTTTTATTGTTATAAACTAATCTTCACCAATGAATAAACTTTTTTAATTTATACAAGTGCCCAATTGAAACTGAATGTAAAGAAAGGAGTCAAATGAGTAGGTAGCCAGGATTCTTTAGTAAATATTTATACACCAGATAAATTCAGTTAGCCAAAAACTTCGCCCTACCATTACCTAAAGTTGTTTAAGAACAGTGTTAATCAAATAATTCATGTTAACCGGTGATTTATTAAAAAATAGGCCAGGAAATGCACTGTCTTTAATGAGGCCAGGACATTAGTTCCTATCATCTGGCATTTTGTACCGAGTTGTGATAAGGAGAAATTACTATCTACTATACTGTAAAAAAACTGAAAAATAAGATTGATATATTAGACTAAAAAAAATTGATTACTATTACTACAGACAGAGAAAAATAAGTTTTAAACAAATAATAAAAGCTTTAATAACAAACATATGATACAAACCTTTACCAACAATAACAAGTGGCCTTTTAGCCTTTGTGATCTGCAGCGCAGCAGCTTCAATTGACTTTGGGTCAGGGTGTAGCACTGGTGGATCTGGACATGGTGGAACTGTCATTACCTTATCTCGCCTGACTGAACCCGTTAAAAGGTTACTAGTGACGTCCAAGTAACTCACACCTACAATAAAAGTGTTATTTAAGTCTTTAGTAAATGTAAAAAAAAGAAGATAAAAATTGAAGAATCATGAGCCTATCAGTAATTAACATAACTTTAGTGGGAAGATCAAGATTCATTCTGTGTTTCCCAGTAGCACCTATATTCCCATCCATGTAACCAAAGACAGAAGTAAAACAATTTATATGAGTCCCTAAACCTAATAAAGATTCCACAAAAATTTGCAATTATAGACCAATTAGTCAGTTAAATATATTATCAAATATCTCCAAAAAAACCAATAATAACCCGATTATGCCAACATCATACTGAATAAGCAATTCGGATTAAACTGTAATGACTTAGAGCCAAACACTCAACTGTAGCCCAAATAACAACACTGACAGACAGACAAATTTCATTATTAAAGGATTAAAAAAAAAAAATTAAAAAATATGGGTACAGTTCTGTTCAAAATTCATAATATTGAAAAAAATTGGGTACTTTTCGTCTAAGGGGCCACTACTGACAGCTATCTGCCAATGTTTATAACCTGAACACTGATAACTCCCATAAAGCACTGATAAGCCTTCTTTTACTTCATATCTTCGTATTATTGTATTAAATTCGTATTATTGAAAGTGTAAACAGATACAAAAACAAATTTAATAACAAAAAAAATACTTTTATTTGACGACACATGTATTAATGAAATAATAAAAAAAACACTTTAAGAAGATATGTACATATAAAACATCAAAATGAAATAATAAAAAACACATTTAAAAGAACATATTTACATAGAAAAGAAAAAATATAAAACGAAATCGGTTTTATAAAAAGATAAAACATTCATCTGTTTCTCGACAAACTCCACCAAACATCCACTGCTGAGATAAAACTCTCCCCACATGATTTTTTCGTTTAGAAAAAAGACTTTCTTTTACTTCAACCACTTTGCCAGGTCCTCCAATTTTTTTTCTTGGCCTGTATAACATGTCATGGGAACAAACCTCTCTTAGACATTTGTTCCACGTTACCATAGCTCTGTTGAATAGTTTCAGCTGCTCTTTGGCCCACTTCATCGTTGTCAAGCTATGGGACCATCCATAAATCAATTTTAAAGCTATTAAAAACGAAATCCTCGAGCCCTCCAACCATGTTCCTTTCCTTATTGAAAGTTTTGTGTCATAAGTCCTACGAAAGCATCTCCATTTGGCCTTCCTGGTTGACTTCATTCGATGACCTAGATCACACGTCGATTCAAGTCGGCAAGTACCCCAACATTTTAAAAATATTGAAGTGCCTGTTCTTCTGAAGGCGTCAAATTCCATATTCTAAGAAGATCCATAATATGACGAAAAGAAACACAAAGGAGCCACAAACTAAAAAAAAAGTAAAATAAACACAAACGGGCCAAAAACTAAAAATAATGAAAAATAAACACAAACGGACCAAAAGTAAACAATTTAATAAGTGAACGTAATAAGGGAATAACTGAAAACTAAACAATGCAATAACTGAAAGGGGATAAGAAGAGGGAGGTTATGTGACGTGACGTTTGATAAGATAGATAAGAGGTGAGGTTTCAGTCCGGCCTGCTAGACTAAAAGTACCAAAAATTGTTATAAGGCATGATATATGGGTCTCATTTAAAAACCTATGATCTATGATTTCCTATCTTACATTAATCAAAGTTCAATGAAAATTGAAGGCACCAAAAATTCACATATTTTTTGTCCTTAAGACATTATCTGAAATGAATGTAAGAAAAAAGTTTTAATATTTTTTTGTCAGAAGGTGTAACTCTGATAAAACTAGTGAAATTCTTCTATACCGAGCATAGTTGTTTACAAATCTAATACATATGTTTTGAATGACCTCTAATTTCTTTAATTGGATTCACAAGTGTAAGCCATCTCCTTGAATCCTATCTTAGCAATAGATTCTTCTTCATCACAATAAGCAAAACATAGTTATCAAACCACTACCTATCCGCTGGTCTTCCTCAAGGTTCTGGCCTTCCCACAAACTTATTGGTCACATGTATCTCAATCTCCCTTCACATCCAACTGTAGAACGATCACTGAATGTAAATGGTGCAACAGTATACAAATTTTCCTATATAATCGATAAAATAATGAACATGTCAGGTTGTCCTTAAAAAATCATTGTTTTTGTCCGAAATGAAAAGGCAAAAAAAAAGACCAAAAGCACAGGCTAACACAGATGCTAAAACAATATCATCAATAACAATTATAACTAACTTATATATATATATATATATATATATATATATATATATATATATATATATATATATATATATATACAAGTAAAGTTTTTTTATGAAATGAACTTATCCTACATCTTTTTCATTCTCCATTTCTCAAAATGTATGTTTATGTTGTTCAACCATTATATATATTTTTGTTCATAGTTTTAAGTGTTTTGTACATATTTTTTTCTGTATTGTATATAGCTTGTTCACCTAAGGTTTTCTTTACTTTTTAGTATATTTTATCAATTTTATTTATTGTTTCAAACTTCTAAGCCAGTAGTATTCTATTCTTTTATATAATTTTGTTATTCTAAAGGGACTCAGTCCCAGAATAAAGTTTTTTTTTCTATCTATCTATCAAACACAAAGCATAATTATAATCAGAGCCACAATCACATGGGCTCAATTTATCAATTCAATTACTCGCGCTTAGAACTGGATAGATCTTAAACATTTACAAAACGCACATAACAAATACAGTGAAGCTAAAAACATAATCAGCAAAATGATTTCATAATTCAATAGAAATTCCCAATGATCCCCAAAAAATAAGAGATCCTTTATAAAGTTGTCATACACACATTAACATATTTCTCTCCTATCTGGAATTACACTTGTGAATCCAATTAAAGAAATTAGAGGTCATTTAAAACATATGTATTAGATTTGTAAACAACTATGCTCGGTATAGAAGAATTTCACTAATTTTATCAGAGTTACACCTTCTGACAAAAAAATATTAAAACTTTTTTCTTACATTCATTTCAGATAATGTCTTCATGAACAAAAAATATGTGAATTTTTGGTGCCTTCAATTCTCACTGAACTTTGTCTATTTTTTAACATATAAATATCTTTTAAATGTATTTTTGTGAAATAAAATTTAAATCTCAGGATATTTACAAGACAGAATATGTCTGTAAAATCAAAATTATTAATTATAATTCTTTTTGTTATTGTATTATGAAATTGTGCACATTTTTTTATTGTTCTAATTTATTAGTTCTAGTGATATTTTTGTAATTATGATAATTTAATTTTGTGATATGTTCATGAATAGTTTATATTTACATTAGTTTTGCATAATCCAATATGCTTATTTAATGACATTCATTTGAAATTGAATATAAGATAAAAGTGATATATTAATTACTAGAAAAAAAAATTAGCAATCCGGACTTTTAACGGATTTACCTGGTCTGCCATATCTTGAAAGCCTGACAGCTTTCTCAACATGTTGGGGTATCAATACCTGAGTCGCAGGCCTCACTGCATATTTACAATATGGTCGCATTAATTCTACTTGGGGACATTCTTGGAAACCTCCAATGCCTTCATGGTCAACACTGCAAGAACCTCCAATCACTAAAAGTGGCCTAAAAATATTTTTTTAAAACGTTAATAAAAAGATTCTTTTGATTATGAAAGTAGTAATAGTAAAAATTATTTAATTTAAAAAACATTATTACCAGCAATTAACTTGTGCATTAGCCATTCCTCCGGTGACATTCAGAACTCCAGGACCAGATACCACCATACACGCTCCTGGTTTCTGAGTCAAATAGCCAATTGCTTGAGCAGCATAGACAGCAGCTTGTTCATTTCGCATACCAATAAATTGAATACCTTGTTTTTGAAATGCCATACTCAATTCAATGACGGGTATACCCAATATACCAAATACATATTCAACTCCCTAAAATAAATTAATAATGAAATAAATATCAAATTTAATACTCATTTCTGATATACCTATTTGGAAAGAGATACAAATAGTCCTATTGGCAATGAGCATAGAAAAAAATCGTCAATAATGTATTCCTCTGAAATGGATCATTAATAGTGCACACAAACAAAATTAATAAGTATTTAAAAATACAATATAAATAGATACTATCCACTAAAGATTTTTTTTTAATTCATTAATGAATCGTATTCTTTATTTTAAAAATTTTAGCTCAATTGCATAATCACATACCTATGCTATTTTCATATTAAAACCTAAATATTACTTGTTCTCGGAGACACTCAGCCATAATTTGGTTGCCATCAATTTCTTCATCAGCTGCATTGGCCATTGTACCTAGTTTTGTTGAAGTATAATATTCACAGGAAGCTGAAATTAGAAATAATTAATATTTTGCATATTTGAAAATCATATAGAACAAATTAAAAGTACAAGTGAACTTTCCAGACCTGTGGTCGCAATCCTTAATATCAAAGTGGCAATAATCAATTAATGATAAAGAATTTCAAGTGACATTATAATGATACAGAATACACAATTTTGTTTTAATCTTTATCTGTTCTTATATAATATGAAGGAGAGGCAAGGTGCAAATCTGAAGTATTTAAATTTTTAATAGTGAATATAAATTTAAATCTAAGATGTTTTGGTATAATCTTAATAGATTAGTTCAAAAGTGCATTTCTTTGCAGTGACATTCTTATCAATTTTTCCATAAAAGTACTTCAAGAATTATATAATGGTAAATAGTTGCCTTGTCATTCTAGGTAGATAATTTATTTTTAAAATAAAAAATTGCTGCCTTATTACATAATGGCTATGTACTTCGTTATATAATAATGAATATTGAAAAATTCTTGCAATTTTAAATGGAAGATAAATGTTAGTATTATCTCAAACCTTATCATCCAGGAGTGACAATTTACAAGTTACTTCAGTCACTGGAGGTTACTTACAGACTAAAGGTTACATGAATTGACGATTATTTTTTATACTTACTACGTTGCAGAAACGTTCTGCGTTGAATGCTGTTAGAAATGTATTTTCTTAAGGGCTTGGATAAAAAATCTCTTTCTCTAAATGAGAAAATGCGATGTTTACAAACCGAAGGCAAATTATTTTGAACTTTAAATTGATGATAACATCGTACGAATTGAAGACACCTGTTGCTACGGGATGAAAGCATAATGGAATTCAAACTTGTTGAGTAGCCTTTTTCTAGTAAGCAATGATAATCACTCTAGCCGGCATATATTTATTAGAGGTGAAGTATTATTCATTGTGTAAATGCTCTTAGAAAATAAGTTTGTAAGCTAACATAAATATTAATCGTGAATACTTTTCCCCCTAAACGTAGAACATGTACTAATGGATAGGAATACGCTTTTTAAAGTGTTCTATGTTTAGCTTCGTAACTGCCGCCTCAGGTCAACATCCAAGTACATTGATATGATAAGGATGTATATGGTAAGCAATGTTGCCAACACCAAACACTTATCAATCACGAAACCTATTTATCCTTAAAACGGTTCTGCATTTCAATTTTTAGCATAAAACATTTTTTCACAAAATATAAAGAAATGCGACGCCTAATTTCACAAATTGTTAAAACAATGAATGAACCTATTTCTTCAATAGGTTTAAATATTTCTATTTATATATAATTATATTATAATTTATTTGTAATGGTGGAGAAATATGTATGACTGCAAGTAATATTGTTTGGATCTGCAGTCACAATGATAAATAATTAAATAACTTATTTTTTTCTCACTATTATTGCAATCCAATAATTTATTGTATCCCCAACTAACTTCTCAACCATATTATTTATTGTTTTATTAATTCATTCCGCACAATAATGGTAAATTGTGTGGTGTACCCATTAGTTATTTGGATAATTAATTTTGAAAATGGGATAAGATTATACTAAGTTGAGTGTCTACTTGATTTTTTTTTTTTTTTTAGACCAAGTAAATGATTCTCTTTCCATCATATTCGGCTCATTTTCTGATGGAAAACATATTAACTTTAAAATTGATCTTAAATTCAAAGTTATAATTTATGTGTTACCAAAAAAAAAATAGTCTAAGTCCCATTATTCAAGACAGAAGGCAATATATACCAATAAGTATTACAATTTTTTTAATCGATTCTTAAATATTATAATTGAAGATATTCTAATTGGGTAATAGGTCACTTGGATATATTTTGATAAACTACAATAACTGCTTTATTCTTTTTATTCAACATTTCAATCCTGTTTTCCTTAAATAAATAATGGGACCATCTTCAGTACTTGCAAAGTAACACCCATCATTGGTACACAAATACAAGCTTTCAAGTGTTTCAACAATAATTTAAAATTTACCTTACTTTTTTAAGGATGGAAAAAAATTGTCAGAAATTTCAGTCATGATAATATTTATTGGATTAGCCGACATTTCGACCCTAAAATGTGGGCCAACTTACCTTCTTTTTAAATTCACCATCGATTCTCCAAGCCAGTCACCACCCTGAAAGCCACAGCACCGACATCAGGCTACTGAGGCTGCCACATGCCCACACATCAGTCTTGGAGCCCGAAGACCAACACACAGACAGAAACAACCAAATACAGATCCACGGAAATTATACCAATAACAACAACAATAGTGTCCACAACAATCTCTGGGTTATAAATTAAAGTATTCAAATTGCTAAAGACAGTAAATAAAACAATCTCACATATATATATATATATATATATATATATGTGCTAACCTTGGATCGCTAAAACTTAAATTAAATAATAATAAAATAAAATATATATAGATAGTCGTTACATGAATTTTTTTTTATGTTATCAAAATTATAAAAGTACACATACAATCATAAAAGAACATTAATATAGTTAAAACTATAAAATTACACATAAAATAATAAAAGAACATTAATATAGTTCCTACTTGGCAACTTGTTTTCCAACAACCACCAATAAAATTAGTAGAAATGAAATGTTTTTTTAGTACTGAAGAGGATCCCATTATTTATTTAAGGAAAATGGGATTAAAACATAAAATAAAATACGAGTCACTAAAAACTTTTTAATATAAAATTGAGTGAGGTAATGAAAATAACATTATTTAATAAATGAAATCAAACAAACAGAAATGAATAAATGAGGAAGTATAAACATTAAATTTAAATCAGACTGAGACAAAAAAAGAGACAATTATTCCCAGTGATATTTTTTTTCAAGTAGAACACAGTATTAACAACAAAGTGATTTATAAGTAATATTCTTATAGTCTATTTTTTAAATTTATATTTTGATTAAATGATGAAGCATGATTTAGTCCTGCCTTTTCAAGCTTGACATTACCATAATATGTTATATTATCCCAGTGTTAATCCAATTATCTTACTATTGTTGCAACAGAAAGGTGCATCATCAGATTGGTTATTAAAAGCACAGGTGAAAAAAAAAAATCATCAACTAAGCTGTCTTGTTTTTATTTTTATATATGAACAATGAACACTGTAATACTTCTTGTAATATTTAATAATAGGAAAAACAGCATATCTTACCAAAAATACTTAACCAGCTATTTATCAATAAAACCTTTTAAAATTAATAATGATTGTGTCCATTGTTTCTATGATAAAAAAGTTTGTTTAACAATACTCCTTTTTTTCTTTTACAAAAATGATAACAAAGCTGCTAAAACCTTAAGACTAATAACTTTAAACAATATTTCTTTAAGATTCTAAAGTATACTCTAAAAATATCTTGACAAGACTAAATACAACCATACAATTAATAAATAAGCAAATATGAATATCTGCAGGTAACTTTAATTAGTTTTTAATATAAAATTATCCAAGAGGATTAATACATTTAACATTTATAAATTAATAATTAATGGTTAGTCACAGCAAATTACCAAAATTATTAATTAATAGACATACAAATAAAGAAATCACATTTACCATTTTTAAGAGAATTCATAAACACAAGTAGCCTCATATGAACAAAACTTAGGCACTGTACAGCATTTATTTAAACTAAACACCACATTAATAGCACCACTTGCATTAGTTTTAGGCATCCTTATGTATCAAAATTTCCTTTATAATAGTAATTTCAATTTTACCAGTACTGTTTCAAAGAAGTAAATATATTGCTCAAAAAGTCTTCAGCAAAATCAACAACTCGCTGTTTCAACCGAGGCTACCGATACAGAAGCATTCTTTCAGCACATTGTCTGCCGACTAATTCACCATATTTTCTTACTTCTTCGTCATCACTCTCACTTGTACCAATCACCCTTAGTTTGTAAGTTCCATATGACATGGCAACGCTATTATGTAAAATTAATACCTGAAAATGACATAGCAATAAATTATAATGAAAACTGACAAAGGGACTAAAAAATTAAACGGGAGGTATTTAATTAAGTAAAAAGTTGTTAATGGGAATGTAAATTTGATTTGGTATATTTAGCATTGATAATTACATTGTAATTCGAAAAATTCACAATACCTGATTCATTAAGATGTAATAAGTTAAAAAGAAAAAACTAACTTTCAGATTTTGAGGTGCCCATATGAAATAACACTCTGGCTAGAATAGGTTGGTTAGGTGTAAGATAACAAACTACCTCTTAGGCCAGAAAAGGTCAGGTAAGACAAAAATAAAATGTTTTGCCGAATTGTTATATTGTATTTCATTACTAATTTTTACATTAAATCATTTAACATTTATACATCACATTTTTTTATAGATAGATTGATTATGGTATTATTTATTTAAAGAAATAGCAAAATATCATATTTGGTTCTCAAGGTAGATAAAAATAATTTTGACAATAGAATAAAACAATGTTCACGCGATAGTTTAAAAAAAAGAAGAAAAACAATTTTTTATTGTGACACAGGTTCCCAAAAAGACATTGCTCAAGCTAAATATTTACAAGTGCACAATAATGGTTAGGTCGCGCATTACATCATAAATATATATATATACATAATCACAAAAAGATGCAACTTATTTGTTATTAGTAATAATTATTGAAATGAACATATATTGTTTTCAACAATACGATGGTTTGATTATGAAGTATGTGAACGAATAAGTGTTGTTAAAATGAAAATTAAGAAGAGATTGATGAAGAAAGTTAGGTAAAGAATTCCAAAATGAGGAAGTACGAACAAAAGATGATTTCTTAAAGGAAGGAAGCTATTCTATAAGAAGGTATACAGAATGTAGATGAGAATGAAAAGATAAGGATATAAATTAATTTAATAGCAAAATGGAAATAGAAATGTTATTTATATTGAATGTTGGTCTATTTGATGTATTCATATGCCGCTTGGGAGAGGAAAAAACCTTCCTCCACATATTCTCCTGGTTCTTGGAATCTTACAGTCCAATGTTGTACACCTGTGTTGAGTCCAATTTTTGTGGCAAAACTTATAATATAAATAATAATAATAGCTTTAACTTTTAGATATTTTAAGTGCACTAAGCCTATATTCAAAACGAAGAACACAATTTTTAATAAAACATATGATACATACCTCATTAAGGAATATAATAGAATTCTCACAAACAGCATCGGGATCTTCATTGAATCTAGCATATTTGTTATTATTAAGCTTAGTCTGGCAATCAGCAATTGGGTGCCAAGAGTAAACCTCAGGGCAGAGAAGGCTCGAGGGATTGTAACGACTCTTGTACCTCATTTTAGGGCAAGAATGAATATAATAACCCATATAATAATAACAGAGTTGCGGGGACTGCTTGTTAAGAGACCTCACTAGCTCCATCTCCCTAAAATAATTGTAAACATTTGTAATATTACAAAATAAAAACACAACAAATCATTAATTAACATTTCAGATTAATTCTAAATGACAATATAAAATTTTGCAATTTTAAAAAGTGCAAAGGTGCATCCAGCAGTATTTGTATGGATAACAAAAAAATTGTTCTCTTAGATAAATCTCATAAATAAAAAAAACAATAATTTTAAATAAATTATTTTTAACTACAAAACAATTGAAGTTGTAAAAAAATGTATATACAAATATTTTACTCATTAAACTTAATGAATAATCAATTTATAATAAACTACATTAATTAGAATAAAAAAAATTATATTTATTTTCTTCAAAGCTAATTTTTATACATTTAAAAATTAAATACAAATCAAAATGAGCATGAGCCGCAAAATATGTAGTACCCACAAAAAATTATTTCATTCATTTTATTTATATATTTTTTAATAAAATATATAAATAAGAAATAGTAAACTAACTACAAATAAGTTATAAATATAATAATTAGATTAATAATTGCTAACATATACTGAGTATATTCATGTATAAAGAAGAAAAATAAATCAAAGAATAAAATTTAAATGGGATTCTTTCAGTAGTGCTATCAATAATTAAGCTATGGATTGAAACTATTGGATTTTTCCATGTTGACCAAAACTAGAGAAACAGTAAGTAATCTCTTACTAGTCGTAATCTAGAGAAATAGGTAACAACCTGTCAGTGGTTTCACATGAAAATTTTTAATAGACAAAAATTTTGTTGTTTAATGATGGAGGATATGAATAATAACAAATTACTTTCAATATATAAGAAATAATTTTAATATAGGTAAAAATTTATTTTCAATAATGAAACTTTGTAATTGACTAAGGGAAAAAAATCATCACCATCAAAATTTCAGGTTTTACATATGATAAGGCTGATGAGGTTTTGCCTTATTTTAGAAAGCTATACTCCAGGTATAATCCCCAGCAACCATAATATACTAGATACTAGCCTTGACTTTAAAATGCATGCTGATTTGTAATTTTAATCTAAACAATAAAAAATTCCCTTGGTTTACATTAATTATTAACATAAAGTTTATTAAATATTCAATGATCCTCAGATAACTTATTTATCCAACAAAATAATTTTTAAAAAATTAAAATTAAAAATAATTTTATTAATACAATAAAACTAACAAAATAGCGTTCAAATCTATAAGTTAAGTTATCTTCACATTTTCATACTGTATATCTAAATAGTTTATTTCCAAAGTGGACCCCAATCATCGAATATTTTCCAGGAAACATGAAAGACTATATTTCCTATTCCAATTGTAATATCAAAACCAATAAATATTTTTTAAATAATAAAATAAGAAATTCTTTATTTGTGGAAAGTTAAATAAGGCAATTTTGGAACAAATTAAACTTTAAGACCCATTTTGAGACAAAGCAGGTTGATTGGAGTTTCGTTTGGAGAGTAAAACAAGGTGTTTGATTTAGAGAGGGATAAAGTCATTAAAGTACAATAAAATAAATTTACTTTTAAATTTTCATTCAAATAAAACTGTTAAAAAACGTTTGATAAATGTTTTACACTATTGTTTTTTATATTGAGGATTGTTTTTGAAGAAAAAGAGTGCACCATCGAATTCATTGGGTGTTTTTACAGATAAATCATTACTTATCTTGATTTCAAATAAAATCTCATAGAGTTCACATTGGAAATAAGTGACTCATTTGGTAAATATCTCACCTCAAAGATCCATACGTTCCTAATGAGAGAAAACTATAATCTGGATCATAAAAGAAATAAACGGAAGATATGCACTTTGGTAAAATATCAATCACCCCCACCGCAATAAGTTTCCCGTTAAGACGATAATGCTGGTGAAAAGAGCCATAGCCAGTCGTGAGTTGGGATGGATTTCCTCTGATTTTTTGTTGAGGCTGAAACAAGACATATTTAGATATAATAAATGATTGGCTCTTGATAAATATTTAATGTGTAGCCAACTTAATGCTAGTATGAAGTAATTGATTTTTAAACTTTGAACTATTAGAAAACCTTTTAAAAACTTGATTTGATGTATAACATACAAATATTATACTTTTATCATTAAATAGTTTGAAAATTTTCAAGTTAATTAATGTAAAGTGAATATGTATGTTTTGTTTTTCCCACAGTTTAAGATATTGACTGATAAAAAAATTCTATTAGTTTATTAACATACTTTGAGAAATTTCATAAATTCAGTAATTTTTTTTTTACATATTTCAGCTAAAATAAAATATAAAAGATCTAATTTATCACTAAAGATTATAATTATTAATCTACTTATCACTCGCATGAAAAATTAATGAATTCCATGAATAGTAAAATATTTCATTACTAAGCAAGGTACTGCATAAGTAAGTTGGCAAAAAGAATTTTATTGACTTTTCTTAAATTTATTTTTATTTTATTTATAGTCTTTATTTATTTTATTGACTATAATAAAACAATTAAAGGCTCAATATTTTCTGAATTATCATCTTGTTCCAAATCTTCCAAATATATACAGATTAATCACCCTGTTTTTTGACCCTTGTATTTATTAATTCCAAGTAATATTAATTTTCACTCAGTAATTGATAACAAATGTAACCATTTACCAATGGATATTTTTGTTTTCATATAATTCAATATAATAGTGATAAGTGAAATTTTATTTTCTAAATGAGAGAAAGTTTTAGAGTTTTAGTTTTAGTTTAAAAAAATAAAAAAAAATACAAAAAAGAAAAATTTGTAAATAAATAATTATGAAACATCAAGTGGTAAAAAACCACTATTGCTTTAAATATTTCTAAAGTCAAATAAACACTGTAATAAATCAACAAATTTTGTATTATGTACATATTGATAATATGCTCTTTTAATTTAAACGTATGAAAACAATTCACTTTTGTAATAGAACCCTTTTATGAGAATGGTTTAAAAAAGGCATTTCAAAAATTAAAATTTAAGAAAATAATTATTTTGTGATTATATGGAGTGATTCCTTTAGAAAAATTTGATACATACAAAGATTGAGATTTTTTATTTTTGTCATACTAAAAACATTTCCAATATTTTTCTAGAATTAAAAAGTATTATCAGATTTTTTTAAAAGAAATTGCTTGTTTTATATACATGAATTGATTATATGGAGTGATTCCTTTAGAAAAATTTGATACATACAAAGATTGAGATTTTTTATTTTTGTCATACTAAAAACATTTCCAATATTTTTCTAGAATTAAAAAGTATTATCAGATTTTTTTTAAAGAAATTGCTTGTTTTATTTATTATTATTTTTTTTAGATACATTAATCACTTTTCAGTGAAGAAATTTATTATTAACAAACATCAAATGATAAAAAAGTATATGTACAGGTTATTGAACATTTATTTTCTTGGTAATTATAGAATAAGAAAATTCATAATAAACAATACATCTCATTCTACTTTTATATTGCCTATCTAATTTTTTGTCTGACACTGAAACATTAATTTATCATCCATTGAATTACATTGTATTTATATTAAAATGGCACTGACGATTAAGTACATCCCCAAGAAATAATATAAACTAAATCTGGCTGGACAGCCACATTACCTTTTTGATGTCTCCGATGAGAATTCTTATGCATTAATCTTTTGCTGTATTTTCTTAAATATTGATCTGATTAAATATTTTGTTTTTACTTTGCCTCGGCAGACACAAAGAAATTCATATGAAAAAATCTAAAGCAGACAATTTTTACTCTGATTTTTAACGTTAATAATAATAATATAAATAGCTGACAAATGTTTTTGATTTCTCAATAATTAAAGAAAACAATTTTCGTTTCAATTACAAATAAACCTTGAAACTAATCAAAGGTCAAGATTAAGCGTTTTAAAAATAAATTATAGTACAGTTGAACTCCAATTATTCAAATCAATCTGGATTCGATTTACATGGAAATTGACATCATTGGATACGACTCGGGATTTTAAAAAATAAATAAATATTAGATGTAGACTTTATCAAATAAATTGAAAGTAATACGTTATTTTGTACGATATACAAATTTTTAAAATTACATTATGTTACAGTAAATGGTATTAAAAATAAAAGAGTTTTATCACTTGAAATATGTCTCGGATATTACACTGCTTCAAATAAGTAGTTTGATTACATTTAATCCCTAAAATCACTTAGGATAATGGGAAATTAATTTTAATGGGGTTTAAATAATTGGAGTTCTACTGCACATGTTAACAAATAATTTGTTAAATGACTGAAATAGCTTAATATATAATATGTCGTGCAAAAAACAATGCACAAGTTAAAAATAAATAAAGACAAAAAGCCAAACACTGACTGACCTTTAAAGGAGTTTCCACAAGAAATGATTGATATGTACTATAGTTACATTCATCTTCTGTTTCATTATGAATGACCATTTGGTATTTACGAAACACTTGCCAACTTTCTTTAATCAATTCTTCCTTACTGTTTGATGGCAAGAGGTGCATCTACTTAATAAAATAGAATCATTAAATAATTTTAATATTATTTTCTGTGAAAAAATATTATTATGGACAGATGCTGTATGTATGAGAAAAGACATGCAAACAAACGAAAAAGACTTAATCAAAGAAGATGGCTTAAAGTAAGTAGTAGTAGTTTAATAAAACATCTGGTTACTTAGTTTCAGCAGACAAAAATTTAAATGAAATCCCATAATGAACAAATGATTCGACAAACATGTAATGTGCAGAAAGTTTAATAGCAATAAAAATATAATAGCTAATGGATTTTAGTAAATACAAGAAACTATTTACAAGCTAGTTTACTGTAATATAAATATATTAAGTACATTCAAATTGGTTCAAAATTAATATTATTTTAATAATTTAATTATAATCGCATAATATATTTTTTAATTAGTTGTGACTACAATTTTTTGATCCATTCAGGAAATTTGAAAATAAACAAAAGCTTTTTGATAAGCTTGAAGAAAATAAATTAACTAGAAGTTAATTAGAGAAATTAACTAGAGAAGAAATTTAATTAATTAATTAAAATTAGAGAAATTAACTAGAGCCATTCTATTATAAAAGAGGGAGAATATAAAACACGAATAAAAGATCAAAAAATATTCTGAGTAAATTTTTTAACCATCAAAGTACAATGAAAGTATCTACAAAACCAAATGAATTTTTTCCCCTATAGAGTATCTTCCACTTGAAGTTTAATGATTGGATGCTAAAAATGATTTCTCATAATTTCCATCTTCTATCCTACACTGTCAATACTATCTGTATGGCGATGACATCCAGATTTACCTCTCCTTTAATCCGACCAATTCCTCTAGCACCATTAAAAAACTACAGGAAGATATAAACAGAATTTGAGCTTGGGCAAACTATAGTAGGATCACTCTAAATGCCAAGAAAACGAAAGCCATCCAAATAGGATCTCCCTCAGCCCTCAAATCTTTACCGACACTTTCCAACTTCTCCTAAACAACTCACCTATCTCATTTCATACTTCCATAAAAAATTGGTGTTACTTTTGATCAAACCTTCACCTGGAAAACACTCATCTCCTAAATTTTCTGTAGTACTATCTCTACCCTGAAACAGTTCAACCGTCTACGAAATCTCCTTCCATATAAGTCCCGTCAACTCCTGTTTTTATCACTGGTGTTCACTTTGACTATGGCTGTCTGGATGAAAAAAAATTCGAAGCCAAACGTTTTGTTTTTGGAATCTGAAGAGATGTGCATATAGCCCAGTATTAAATCGAGTTGAAGTGGCTCTATCCATCAAACCGTTGAGTGTACTTCCTTGTTATCTTTCTATATAAATGTAGACATGGTATACCATGTCATAAGAACTCAGCGACCCTCCTATTTTATTCACAGCCTACAATTTAAATACTCCATTCAATCCATCCCATTAGATCCTCTATCGCTCTCTCCACCACACTGCTGCATTTGACAAATCCTTAGTAATCCAATCTGTCTCCTTCTGGAATTCTATCCCTCCTGATATTAGACACGTACAATCAGTGTCCTCTTTCAAACCTCTCCTCTTTAAACACCTACTTCTTTCCCAATCAGACTGATCATTAAATGTACCCCAGGAATAATATTCCTATTTACTTACGCTATTCTAGTTTCTGATGTTTGTTTATATATATGTATGCTTTTTTTTCCTCTCTCTCTCTTTCTCTTTCTGTCTGTATTTTTATTTTTTATTAACTATTATTTTGTAAATACTTATAAATATGTATGGCCAACTGCCATTTACCCTGTACTTATAATTTTTTTTAAATGGAAACTGTCCCAGAGTAGTAAAAAGATATTTTCATTTCATTCCATAATTCTGCAATCATTGAAGTGCATAGAAACTATATAATTTTTCCTATAATACAGGTTTTAATTAGTTTTTTGTATGTGGTAATATAATTTGCATGAACAAAAATTTTAAAAAATCAAGCCTTTTTTTATACTAACATCATAAATATATTTAGTATACATACAGAAAAATCAATCTAATTACTTAGAACCAGGACGGATTTAAATTTAGCAAAGCTTCGAAACAATGGCACATTTGATGTAATATTCAAATAAAGAATATAATGCAAGTTAGGGATGCCAACCTTTTTTGAACCCACCATTTCAAGACAATAATAAACCATACTTACCGAGTAACTTAAAATAATATACAATTTTAATTATTCTTTTCTTTAACGATTTTTCAATAAATTAAGAAAAAAATTAAATGAAGGATTCTGATTAATTTCATAAATAAAATTTATGTAAAAAAAGATTTTGATAAAATTTGAATGATATAACCACAAAGAAAATATACTTTAAACTATAATTTTTTTAACATTTATAGTTTGAATAAATGTACTTTTTTTAAAGAAAAAAAAAAACTATAGAAAACTTTCTGCAATTACTAAGAAATAGCTCCCATGGTAACTTTTGTAAAACTCAAAAATGTTAATGAAATGTAAAAAAATATATATATAGAACTGCATCCCATTACTTGTAAATTGGCATTCCACCTTTAGAGAAAATTGAAACAATTTTTTTTTTGCAATTTCATAGAGGAGATAGAAAAAGGTTGTTTCTTGGATAAATCCTCAATGTACAAAATTAAGCAATAACAATTATAAAATGAAAGATTACTACGTCCTTGATATTTTTTTTAGATTTCATCTAGTTTCGAATTGGCAATAGACCGTCCGCACAGAAATGTTTTATGAAAATATTAAAATAAATAAAAAATATTACAAATTTTAAAAACCTCCTAAACAAATCAGTCAGTGCCGGAGCAGTCTTTTATCTGAGCTTTACCTTCAGTGGACTTGTGACAAGGAAACGTACGAACTGCTGTTCGGGAACCTTTGAGATTGGATCATGGTGCACGACCATTTGGTACTTTTGGTATAACGAGAGCTCTTCTGCAAAACTCTCATCAAACTCTCTGCTCCGAGGAAATGAGCGAACTAACTTCAACTGACCACAGATATTAAGTATAAATATTTTGGTTGATTTGAATATTTTGGCTATGAGTTTTTAATGAGCTAGATCAAAAGAAATCTTACCTCCAATTTGTTAACTGCACTTTCTATAGAATATTCTTTAATGAAGTCTTCCAAAGATTTTTCAGAAGGCTGATCCTTTTTTAATACTGATGCAACTGGTAACCCTTTTTCTAGTAGTTTCTTTTGTTTTTTTTCTAAACGCAGTAACTTAGCCTTTTTACACTGAGGCTTTGACAAATCTCTTCCAATACCTTATTATGACAATGAGAGCATTTTTATGAGATCATTATGATACAACTAATTATGGATTTTTTAAATTCTCCATTTCTTCTTTACAACCTTATCTGTAGGTCAAATTTAAGGAAACAAATACTTATTTTTGTACTGACATATATTAAATGCTGAAGTGGTGGAAAAAGTATCTTTAAATATCCAAGTAGAAAAAAAAATTATTAATTACAAGTGATTGTTTTCTTAAATTTGACATATAGACAAGGTTGCAAAGAAGAAATAAAAATCAATGAGGAAAAAATACAGGTATGCACTAATTAATTAATTATTGACAGCAATGATAATTTATGAATTGATTGCATATAAAGAAAAGTGGGACAACTGAAGCAGTACTTTATTAAGAAGGGAAACTCAATAAAAACTGGTTGGGTCAACAAAAGGCAGTGCCAGAAATTGTGGAATCACAATGGATCCCTAAAGAATTTTAAGCTAGTAATATTCTGCAGAAATAATTAGTTAATTATTAACATTAATTATTTTTAATAAAATAAAAACAATGACATACTTTACCAGGTTTTGGTGTGCCGGGACTATGAGACTTTTCTGAACATCCAGCTAATGGCGAATGTGGCACTTAAATATAAATAGTAATTTTATAACAGCTGATAATAAAATAAAGCAAAATATATTTAAATATATAAATCATCAAAGAGAATCAACTAATGAGGATTAAGATTTTTATTTGAGACTGAATAAGGAAAAAGGTGGGTAAATGCAGCCTTTATAACCACATATAATTTATCTTACAATATTGCTCTGAACTAATTTAGTAGTAAGACATTTAAATGTAATATTTCCTATAGATTCCTTTCTTGTTACTTTTTTAAGTACAAACCCTTAGTGGTTAATACAGATACCAATTGTTAATTAAGTGATGTAGTGGCTCTGGATAACACCTTTGATAAAATATATAAAAAAGACTAAAGAGCACACATGGAAATTGATATAAATGAATTGTGAGCATAGTTCTGATGATGGGAAAAAGATTCCGAAAGATGTACATTTTTTTTTTTTTGTTGTTGCAATTATGGAAGTTTTTATTGCCAACCTTTGAACTTTTTCATCATTATTAAACAATTTTTAGTATTATTTTTAGAATTATTTATATTTATTATGCATGTATGGTGTACCAATCATTCAACACTTGTGTTTAATTAATTAAAATTTTTAATTTTTTATAAAATATTTGCTGATAAAAGCTTAAAATATCATCATCAAGATTGAAAATAATTTTTTGACATGATTTTCAATTGTTATTATATTTGATAACCTTTTGAATAGTATAAATAATACATCATTAGCGAAAAGTGAATAGAGATTTAATACCTTTTATATCTGCTTTCTGAGATTTATCTTCTGATTTTTCTACACGAGATGGAACTTCTGGCTTATTTGGGCTAACTATGAAAATAAAGTCAAGTTATAAACTAGTAACAACAATTAAGATTAAATTTATATTCAAAAATATTACTTCCGCAGGCTGATGAATCTACTTCCATTAATCCTCCTATTTTCTGATTAGCTTTTTGGTCCATAACACTACTAATATGCTTTTCAAATATTTCACATCCTAGAATTAAAAAAAAAATGTATCAATAATATTATGCACTATTAGTCAAGAAAAAATTGAAGTTTTAACTAATCAATGAGTGTGACAGAAATTATAGTACTAAACATTACAATCGGCAAAATTGTTTAGCTTTATTTTCCTAATAAGCTAAGATTTCCACCAATAAAACAATGAACAAGTGGTAATCTAAGTACACAATCTCAATATCAACATATACAATTTTATTATAATTGAACTAAATTGAGATTTCTTTAGGTTAAAGGAACAACAGTACCATAAGGTAAAGAACCGTACCAAAACAAAATTTATCATAACACCAGTCACAAATTTCCTTAGAAACACTGTTTATCCAAAACTAATTTTGGTAGAAGAACCTAACTTATTGCACTTCCTGATATAAATAAACTAAAACAACAGGATTTTAAGTTTCAGTCAGAACAAATATAAGGCTAATTAATTAAATTAACAAAAAATAAAATAAATGTTATATATATATCATTATCATATCATTCATGCAATTTAATAGATCAGATATGACTTATAAAAATAAAAGAATAAAAATATTTTATTTTATCAATTATTAATATTTATTTGATGTGTGTCAGCTATAACTAACTAAAAATAACTAATAACTAATTAACTAAAAATTAATCCGAAGGGAGATTAAGAAATTTAGTAATAACATTGCCCTATTGACCGAGTGGATGACAAATTTATAACAAAGAGTAATCATTATGTCCAGGATTCAGCATCAGGCCACCCTAATCAACAGCATTCTATAGCTCTTAGTTTATGCCAATGATTCCAATATTGCTGCTAAATCAGAGCATGCATTAAGAGAGTTATTCTTGATCCTAGAAGATGCAGCAAAGAAATTAGGATTAGTTATTAATAAGGCCAAAACAAAGTAACTAAGAATCAGAGGACAAGGACCAGGAATTGGTTTCTTTGAGGTTGGACAATCTTGCTTTAGGAAGCTAAGCAGCTTCATCTTTCTTAGTTTAGAAATCAACTCTGAAAATGACACATCACGGGAGACCAACAGGAGGATAATGACAGCGAACCAGTTCTACTTTGGAATTGCAGAGCACTTTGAAAGCAGATTCCTTTTTAACAGGACCATGATTAGTCTTTAAAAAACCTTAAGTCTACCCAAATATAATTTATGGGTCTCATAAGCCTGGGCATTCACGAAAACAGATGAAAATGGAGTTTTCATATTTGAAAGAATAATTTAAAGAAAGATTTTTGGTCCTGTTAGAGAAGGTCATGCCTGAAGAAAGAATTACGCAGGACATTATAAGGATACCAACATTATCAATTTCATCAAGATACGGTGAATTCAGTGGGCTGAACTCATTGGACGAATGGACATTGCTGAGACATAAAAGAGGATATTAATTGATAAACTCCATCGTAAAAGACATGTTGGTTAGCTGAATGTTAAATGGGAGGAACCGATCTTGGTGGATACACAGGTTCTACTTGGAGTTCGAAACTACAAAAAGATTTTGGAGAAAGCCCAGTTTCGGTAATTAAACAGTTTCAAATGACTAAAGAAAACACTCATTGAAAATAGAAATAACAAAGAAGTTCACGTACTAGGTTCAAATTCGCTGGCAGAATCACTATCAGATTCTCCTTCTTGTTTTTTTGAAGTATTTCCTTCGACAAGAAATTTCCCTACTCTTTTCAAAATTTTCTTTTGTGATTTTGATAGCTTCAAATTTAGAGATTCACATCTAAAACATATCAGCATTAATATAATTTATTCTGTTTTCTGACATAATGTTAAATTATATTCAAGATTATATATGCTATACCTGATTGTATACAGGGGGCAACAAGTTAATTTTTGAATAGGTTTGTAGCAATATTGACCACTTCTTCTCCAACCTCGGTCAATCAAATCTTGATAATCTTCAACAGTCATAGTATAAGCCCACATTCCTGAAATGTTATTGTTAATATTACTTTAATTCCAAATAAAGTAATAGATATTAATGTTAATGCAAGAGATTTCATCAATTAAACAAACAGATTTAATTAATTAAACAAAATTATTAAAATATAAATCAACCATTATTACGGGAAAGGGACAAAGTCTTTTAAACCGTTACCCCTTAAACAGGAATAATAAATATTTTCATGTGAATGTCACCAAAGAATTATTAATTTATACATATTATAGTGTAAGGGTTACAATTAAGATAAAAAATACAACAGTTAAGAAAACCATATCTATTAAATAATGGCTAACTGTGCCACTGCAAATTTAGCAGTATTCTAGAAAAGGAATCAAATTATCCTGAGAAAATCTCATTTGAACTAAAAATAAAATAATAAAAATCACTGCACAAGACAGACATGTGTCAACAGGAGAGAATATGCCTAAAGGAGTGGAGCAGTGAGCTCAGATTGTTCGGTCTAACTCATCATCTACCCATTGTGCAGTCCATACTAACCGAGTATGTGTTCACTTTGATGAAGCGACAGCTCTCAGATCAGACTGAGACAAATCGATATATATGGCCAGTCTAAGCCTGTATTCACTTCAGCAGAGAGAGCATATTCTAATTTAGAGTGAACGCTCGAAATCATATATTCTTCTTTAGTATTTTCCTGTAATGCTAATTAGAAACACAATAATCTGTTTTAATCTTTTAGACTGAAATACACTTGGAAAAAGTTTCAATAATATAGACCCTCAGGACCATTTCTGAATGCATTTCATAAAGAAAATTGATAACATGCAAAAACATGAATCTGAGCCAATAAATACAACAAAGAATTAATTAAATAAATACATTTTTAGCACAGTTTGTTTGGTCAAAAATGACTCATTTACATCAAGTACTTATCACTAAAACTTCCTCAAAATAAAAATGGAATAATTTCTTATTTAAATACATTTAAACTTACCTGTACTGTGGCTAGAGTTCGCAGTTTTACAATAACCACAAGATGATTTATTATCTTGAAGAAATTCTACAACTGAATACTTTGAATCCATAATGCTTATATTTGTGAAATAATCAATTTAAAAATGCAGCTTTATTTGTCATCGTACAGGGTAATCATATTCTGATAACAACAAAGACGTTATAACAAAAGGTAGAAGTGACTTTTAAATGACTAAAAAGTCCGCGGACATAGACCTCTTTGGAAAGAGTAACATTCGCCAATTACTGAGTACTTTATGAGAGATTAAATATTAAGCTTTAACGATAATACTTTATTTATTTATTCTGGGACTAGCTTCTTTAGAATAATACAGTAAGACAGAAATATGAGCTATGGAGCCTCAGAGATTCATAAAACAATCACAATTGTAAGTTACTTTTTAACTTAAAAAAAAAATGAAAAAACATGAAGTAAAAATAATTAAGGATTAGTAATTTATATACATATTTACAGTAACATCTATTTACAATTATATGGTGATTAGATGGATAATAAATGATTGAACAGGCGGGATTTAAAGATAGCGAGGGTATTGGAGCGACAGATGTAGGAAAGGATGAACTTCCATAGGGATGAGAATCAGATAATGATCTGTCTGTTATGTGGACCCTTGTGTATAACTCTGAAGGCTGAGAACTGGCTTTGCGGAATGAACTGAGTATTTTGAATTGAAGGAGCTCGCAGAAGTATGAAGGACGGCGCGATTGGATGGCATGGAAGAGGAAGGATGCCAGAAAATACGATATAAGGAAGGATAAGGTCGCCTTGGCTCTTTATAAAAACAGGAAACGCAGGCGTCTCTTGGGATCCCGTAGATGAATCGTACAAAGCAATTTATCATTTTTTTAAATTTCGCATCGAGATTCCTAGCAGGAATCCTCAGAGGAGGGTTTCATGGCGCAGATTGCCCCATCTAAATTTTTGAGGGGGGAGGCAAATTTTAACGGGATTTCGAATTTTTGAGGAGGGCGCATTTCGACAAGGTTATGAAATTTCTGATTGAGAAGTTTCAAACCAGTAAACAAAGGGAATATATAGAAAAAACCTAAGCAATTGTAATTGTGTATGACCTACAGTAATTTTATTTCTAAGGTTTTTAAGGTGAGGAGTGCAATATAACATCTTGAGGAGGAGAAACGAAAAGATCATGGGCCATCAACCTTGGGGAGGAGGGGCACCCCTATTTAAATATACATTATTTCGTCTTTAATACTGTTAAATTAAATTTCGTTGATTCCATGAGATGATATCAATTAAATTGTCCAAAATAAAGAAAATTCTAATACAAATTCTTTGGCCCAATCAAATTGGTGTTAATACTTATTATAATAGACTGTTTTGTAATTTGAAATTGAGTAAATATTACTATTTAGATAGGTATAATAATAAAATAATGTTTAATATATCTCTTTAGTAAGATGTGACGAATATTTTAAATAATTGTTGAAATTTAATTTTAATGTTTCAATAAAAATAACTAGATTATTAATTCAAAATAACTATAAACTAAATATTTTATAAGTTCAGAAAAGAACTGTTTATTCGAAAGAAAAATATTGACATGCACATATTTCTGAAGAACGTTTTATTGTTTTGATGGAAGTGTCTTAATTCAATAACCAGCTTCGTAAACTGAATTAAGTTCTGACTCACGAGCACTAGCGGATCCAGGATTTGATTTCGGGAGAGGGGGCTTCAGCCCGAAGGTTTTTTTTCATGTATATAATAATTACTTTGGAAAAAAAAAAGAAACAAACTAACTACCTATATGAAATAGTGTTTAAGTAATTCTTGAAGTCCTATTAAATTAAATTACACGAACAATAATACTTTAAGAGATAATTTTTTACCTTAAAACATGGTTACATTTCACCATTTTTTTGGGGGGGGGGAGGGGAGGCTTCAGCCCCTAAGCCCACCTCTCCTCGTAGATCCGCCTTTGCTCAGAAGTAATGTTTTTTGATTTCGATTCTCAAACAATACTTAATAGCTAAAATTCATAATTGGTAATTGGTTGACTGTCGTGGATAATGAAGAATAGCCCTGATGAAGGCCTGAACTTCAGGTCGAAACGTCGGCATATGTAAAAAATAAATATTATAATTTATTTTTTGCCTTCCTTTTTGACTGAGCACCCCAACTATTCTTCTCTTCAATAGCTAAAATTATTTCAGAATCATGATTATTTTGACCTAAAATGTAAAATTTTAATATTGATTTTAAACTTTTTTAAAAAATCAGCATATTAATTAATAGTTACGCTGTGTAATTACACTATGTGTTTTAATAAACGACAATAAATATAATCTATTGTATATCTATATTTATTTTACACATATATTACGACTTATAGAACGTTTATTTATAATATTTAGGCCGTTTTTCAATAATAAAATTGCGTGTTCATTTGGTACGATATTAAGAACTGTATTTATAGCTTAATAAAAACCAAATGACTGTAAATTATAATTAATTTTTAAATTTTATATAATTGCAAAGAAATTCAATCTCTGTAAATTAATTTTTTTTATAGAATAAATAAGTAAAGATAACAGTCCATAATAATGCTCATAAATTTGAAAAGTATTTAAATTAAATTTGAAATTATATATTTATTTTTTCTATGTTGGCGTGTTGAAAAAAGTAATCCCTTCTCGAAATTCGTTATACCAAAGGTTGGTACTAAAGCTTTTTTCTCTTCAAAAAACCAGAAATATAATTCTTTTAATGGTAAAATAATGTTAAATGTAGTTTATTCTTTAGGACTGATGTTTTAACGTTTGAGTAGAAAAAATAATCAAAATGTAACTTTATTGTGGCAGCATTTCTTTAGGTTTGAGCCAATTTCAGTTTAGGCTACAATATACTTTTGTAGAGTCCACTGCTCTGCGCCAGTATTATCCAATTACAGTTTAAGATTTCATATTAATGTCAGTTATTTAATTTTACTAAATATAGTTAGGATAGCAATCTTAGTGGTAAGAATGCCTTGCTTTTACTATTGATAAATTAATAATATATATATTCGGTTTTTTTAAGGAAATGAATTGTCCTTTTTTTTTCATTTATTTGGGTCATTGCAATTTTTGGTTTAAATTGGCTCACTTATCAAACTATCAAAAGTTGATGACATATTTCATATTATATAATTTTATTATCGTTTACTTTCAATACAATAATACAAAACCAAATTTGATCTTAGCATTTCATTTGCAAATAATCAAATAATGCCAATTCAAAAAATCCAATACTAGGTAGTATCCGAGGAACTACCTAGTATCGGTTTTTTTTAATCGATATGGATTCTTACATACAAACACACTATGTTTTGATTGGTGTAGATAGAAAAAAATTTAAACTATTATTCAGAATGTTTTAGTTTTGAGTTCTAAAGTTTAAAGATTTACTATCCTAATAGAATTTTTTGTTTACAGTTTTTTTTTCTGAAAAAGAGGAAACAGGGTAGCTTAGTGAGTAAGGCGCTGCACTCCAATGCTCCATGCCCCAAGTGCAAACTTGACTGTTGTAAGTCATTATTTATTCTGTTATGTCAGCTGTCGAATGATCTTGTGGTCCAGCGACCCCAGGATAAACCCAGTCTCTATAATGTGAGTACTGTAATAAAATAATAACTAATTAAGGAGAAAAATCTGGTTTTTGAGTATAACTGTCGATTGCCTCCTTGCATCATTGACCAAGAAATTATACTTACTCATTAATGAATCCAAGACTTTCCATGAGTTGTAATGGTATATATTTTCTCTTATTTATATGTAAATTTATTGAATATACAAAATTATAGCTAGTGCATTGTTTAGAAAATATAATTTTCATAATTTATTTTCTGTTTTGTTAAACATTTTCGTTTATTCATCAAATCTTTTTGTTACTGGAAAATCATAAAATTTCAAAAAAAAAAAAATTGTTTGTTGTGTTGAAAATACATTACCAAAAATTTGGAAATTAATTAAGAAATTTTTTGTAAATTATTGAAGTTTTTGTTTTGTGTATTAAATACTTTGGTTTTATACAATTGTAGACAGATATAACAATTCTTTCTTTTTTTCTATATAAATTTATTATTTCAATGGAACTTTAAAATCCTTGATAATTCACAAAACTTTATTGCATTTTTTTTTTTTGTGTGTGTTCTTATTTTACATCTGACGACCTTTCAGGCCACTATGCCCATTTTCGCATCTTTGAAACAGTTATTAGGATCTTCTAAAAATAATTTAAAATTCATTCAAATGTTTAAAAAAAACATTATCCTCTTCTTTGTATTTGGTTTCATCATGCTATTAAAACAAGTTAACACAGGAATTTGAATAAAACCAAGTACAAAGAAGACGATAATCTTTTTATTTATTATTATTTTTTTCTTAGTATCATCTAAATTATTTTTAATTGTTACTAAGAAATGTTTCTAAGACTTGAAAATGGTTGAAGTGGTCTGAAACGTCCTCACATATAAAAAAGAAGAAGAAGAAAATGCAATAAAGGATTTTAAAGTGTTCTCAAAATAATAGATTTATATAGAAAAACTACATACCCTTGAAAATCTAAGTGAATGCAGTTCTATTTCATCTTTGTTGGTTTCATTGATCCATCTGGTTTTTGGCTTTCCATGTGGTCTTTTGTTTACTATTGAGGTATTCATTATTGTGTAATTCTTTACAAACTCATGTAACATAATATTTAATAGAAGATGACTGTTCTAAATAGTTTTTTGTTATTCATATAAATACGTCTGGTTTCAAATAAGATAACTTTTATAATTAAAATAGATTGATTATTATAAATGTTTCTAAGGATTTTTAACTCCTCTCCTCGACTATCACTTCATCACTCTCATTCACTCTGTTTAAGCAGTTCTCATCATGTTCAAGCAGGAGGTTCAAAGGAAAAGTAATAGAATATAATAGAATAGAAAAATAAACTTTATTCTGGGATAAAGATCCCTCAGAACAACCATAATGAACAAATAAAAAAAAAATACATATCTGACAAAAAACTGATTTTAACTTTAAGTGATAGAGGTATTCTATGATCAAATAGAATATAAATCTACATAAATTGAATTTGATAGAAAAATATTTTAATTGGATTAGCAGGCAAATTTT